CAAATCATCAATTACAGTAGCAACAACACAACGGCATGAAAAATCATTCGTATAAAAACATCGCCCAAAATAGCGAAGACGCAGTGTAGTATAGTAACCTCGCCTGGTTAACTAGTTTACTAGTTACTAGCCGGTCCTAAGCCCGGGTAAAGAGGGAAGGTTGGGCATAGGGCTAGCAACCCTACCCCGTAAAACAAATCTAACCGCTAAAGAAACTTCAAAGCACAAACAAAATATAAAAAATGAAAACAAACTTATTCCCCGCTGGAATCGGAGAGGCGAAATGACGCCAGTTGGTGAAAGCCTTCGGGAAGCCAATTGGCCGATGTGTCTTCTCTCGATGAAAGCGAAAGTAAACGTGGGGACATGGAATGTCCGCACGATGTTTGAACCCAGTAAGGCAGCCCAGATTGCAAGGGAGATGAGAAGGTATAACATCGAAGTGCTTGGGATTTGCGAAAGCAGATGGAATGGGAGTGGACTCTCCAAACTGTCAACTGGAGAATCAATAATCTACTCCGGTCACCCAGACGCCAACCACGAGCACACTGAGGGAGTGGCTATCATGATGTCCTCAAGAGCATCGAAGGCTCTCATGCAGTGGGAACCAATCTCCTCCAGGATCATGACAGCAAGATTCAACTCAAAAGGAAGAAAGGTCACAATCATACAATGTTATGCACCTACAAATAATGCAGAGCAAGAGAAAAAGGAGGATTTCTACAGACAACTTCAATCAACACTGGACAAGACGTCAGTTGGCGATATCAAAATTCTGATGGGCGACATGAATGCCAAACTGGGAGGGGACAACACGGGAAGAGAACTAACCATGGGTCGAGAGGCACTAGGTGAAATGAATGAGAATGGAGAATTGTTTGCAGAATTCTGCGCATTCAACGATTTGGTGATTGGAGGCAGTGTGTTCAGGCACAAAGATATCCACAAAGCGACATGGATTTCACCAGATGGACACACTAAAAATCAAATCGACTTTATCTCAATCTCAAGAAAATGGAGACGCAGTCTACTTAACACAAGGTCAAGAAGAGGAGCAGATGTAGGTTCAGACCACTACCTAGTGCAAGGAACCTTCCAAATCAAGTTAAAAGCCTTCAAGGAAGCTGGTGATAGACCTCAATTCAAGTACAACACTCGGAAACTGAAGGATGAAACTACAAAGGAGATCTTCAAGGCAGCCATCAAGACAAAATGGGAGACATCGAGCAACATCCCTGAAGAAACCTGTGTGGAAGAACACTGGAAGTCTTTGAAAGCTATGTGGAAAGAAACCTGCACAACAGTATTAGGAAGGAAGAAGGAAGACAAGGAATGGATCTCGACGGATACCTGGAAGCTGATAGAGGAGAGGAGGATGGTGAAGCAGAAGATAAACCAGTGCAAGGATGCTCAACGACAAGAGGAACTGAGCACAATGTATAAAACACTGGACAAAGAAGTGAAGAAGAGTGCACGCAAAGACAAAAGACACTTCTACGAAACACTGGCAAGTGAAGCAGAACAGGCTGCAGGTAAGAGAGACCTGACGACATTGTATCAAATAACCAGGTTGCTATCAGGGAAGAGACCAACACAGATGAAACCAATAAAAGATGAAGAAGGAAATTTAATTACAAAAGAAGAGAAACAGAGGAAACGATGGGCCGACCACTTCAAGAAGCTCTTGAATCGACCACCACCTGCACTTCGTCCAGAAATACCACCTGCAGCCGCTGAACTACAAGTGAACATAAATCCCCCAACGAAAATGGAAGTCCTGAACGCCATAAAGCTACTGAAATGCGGGAAAGCAGCAGGACCAGATGGAATACCGCCAGAAGCACTGAGAACAGATGCAGAGACAACAGCGGCCATGCTCACACCACTATTGCAGAAGGTGTGGAAGGAAGAGAAGGTACCTGACGATTGGAAGAAGGGTTACCTTGTCAAACTGCCGAAGAAGGGAGACCTCAGTGCTTGCAAGAACTGGCGCGGAATCACTCTCCTGTCCACCCCAAGTAAAATATTAAGCCGCATCATCCTGGAGAGGCTAAGGGATGCACTGGATTCAAAACTACGACCGGAACAGGCAGGCTTCAGGAAGTACAAATCATGTGCAGACCAAATTGCAACGCTTCGTATCATCATAGAACAGAGCATAGAATGGCAATCACCTCTCTACCTCAACTTCATCGACTTTGAGAAGGCCTTTGACAGCGTCGACCGAGAAGTAATTTGGAAACTGCTTCAATACTACGGAGTACCGCAAACCTTTATCCGCCTCATTCAACAACTATATGAAGATGCCACATGCCAAGTAATCCACAATGGGAAGCTCAGTGATGCCTTTGAAGTGAAGACAGGAGTGAAACAAGGTTGCCTACTATCCCCCATGATATTCTTGATTGTGGTGGACTGGATCATGCAGCAAACAGTAGGCAGCGAGAAGAGGGGGATACACTGGACGACGGAAAAGAACCTAGAAGACTTGGATTTCGCCGATGACTTATGCCTAATGTCACATAAACTTGAAGATCTGCAGGCAAAAACTAACAAGTTGATAGAAGAGGCAGCGAAGACGGGACTTCAGGTGAATATAGAGAAGACAGAAGTGATGAAGATACCGCACCACCACCATCAACAACAACAACAACAAACTCCAATCACCGTCAACGGGAGAAACTTAAAGGAAGTAACCTCCTTCACTTATCTAGGAAGCACTGTTTCAACTACAGGCGGGACGGACGAGGACGTCAAAGTCAGAATCGGAAAAGCAAGACAGGCGTTCATTAGCCTGAAACCAGTGTGGAGATCTTCTGCACTCAGCATGCGGAACAAGATACGGATTTTCAACACCAACGTCAAGTCAGTGCTCTTGTATGGCTCAGAGACTTGGCGCGTCACGAAAGGTATTTCCAATAAACTACAGACATTCATCAACAACTGCTTACGCTCGCTGCTGAAGATCAGATGGCCAGAAAAAATAAGCAACAAGGAACTCTGGGAACGAACCAACCAAGAACCTATCACGCAACAAATATGCAGGAAGAAGTGGAGATGGATTGGCCATGCACTGAGAAGGCCGACTGAGGACATCACGCGTCAGGCCCTCGAGTGGAATCCCCATGGGAAGCGACGAGTTGGACGTCCGAGGGTGACATGGAGGAGGTCGTGCGAGCAGGAAATGAGAGCTTCTGGGCTGTCGTGGGACCAGGTTCAAAAGATCTCAGAGAACAGAGGTCACTGGAGGCGTGCTACTGAAGCCCTATGTTCCACTAGGAACCCAAGGGACTAATAATAATAATAATAATAATAGTGTAGTATAGTAGTCCTACAGGGAAATGAAGAAAACTATTTGACGACATTTTTCCAGAGGAACGGCTATCCACACAACGTACCAAATCGCTTCAACTCATGACCTTGCGCCTTCAGCTTAATAAGTTCGTCTATACTGCCGGGGTTAGAATCAACGTTCAGTCCCACCGAGACCTAGGCTACTGCTTTGGCAGTTAGCTGTCACTGAATAACAGTCGTTAGAAATCACCATCTTGAATCTGCGGTCACGGTCCATAAACCTCATGATCCTATATTAATTCCAATCAACTCCCTCTTGTTTGCTTTTATTTACCAAACAGAATTCTTTTTCTTCATCATCAGAACAAACTTAAAAATATCGCTTTACGTTACTTCGACATCGATGCCTTCTGCGGCATGCGCAGACAGGAATTACAGTGGAAAATTAGATTACTTGGTCTACCTTCCCTCTCACATTATCTCTATCTCAAAAGTGTAAGGCCAGAGATGAGACAAAGTTATAAGTCAGTCCGAAATAGAAAGGATGTTCGGCTCAAAACTGAACAACATAACGTCTCACTTTCTCATGTTGCCACTTTTGATGGTACAAAACCCTCACTGGCCACTGGAACTCATTGTCTGCAGAGATTGCTACTGCCTAGTCTGTTGACAGCCCCAAAGAGCGGTTGGACAGTCACGCAGCGACGCATGGTTTTCGCTCGTGCAGCCGGGATAAGGACTAGGTTCGTACAACTCAGCACACCCAACTCGTTGCAGAATTTGTAGTAACCCCACTATCATCGCAAACGTGACACAACTTCATACTTCCCTTTAGACATCTCCAGATAACATTGTAGCGTCACACACTTCCCCAAAATCAATAGCCTGGGGTTTGACGACTTTCGACATCGATGCTGACCCTGATAGTTTAACTGGACTCGCTAAGCTGAAGGCACTCGGTCAAGCATCCTCGCCATTTGGCACGCTGTCGTGTTACGTTGCATTGCTCGTATTCGACTCTCTAGCCAGTTAGTTGTAACGCATCAGTATTTTGGCATAACCATCCAAATACACTATTCCATCCGACTACGCTATCGTGTTCTTCCTTGGTCTCGTATTCGTGGGTATATAACAAGTCCGAATAATTAGTGATTGGTCTTTGCGTCTGTCAAGTTCGCACCAGGACAAATCCTAAAACACCTATTAATAGTATTACTGTCTCTGTTCCCATAACCCATCCCATAATCTTACTGGTTCCTTCTCTTCGCCATGACTCTATGTTCTTTCACTGCCTATTGAAAGTTCTCTTTATCAATTATCTCCCACAAATCTACTTAGGTTTCTCCTTCCCTCCCGTTACGCTTCCCTTCACTTTGCTGTTATTTGTTTCTTTTTCTACGCACTTCGTCTCCTTTGATTTTACTGTACACCTTTTCTATCTTCTTTTTGCAACTAGTCCAAACAACTATCTGGTGGTATGACACTTAAGGAACACACCAGCACCACAGTCCTTGGAAAAACCACACAATCCGTACAAAACACCCAACAGCCCGTCAGGCTAATCCGAGCTCCAGCAGACGAGTGAGTAAACCTACTGGATCGGAGTCCACCAAAAACGTGGAGCCGTTCCGCAAGAACTAGAAGCGAGTGCGAAGAAATCAACTGGTATACATTAGCTCGTAAGGAGATATTGGACATTGTATTCTACTTCAACTTGAGCACAAGAACTACAAGCAACACTTTGATGCGCGCTCTGTAATTTCTGACTATGTACGGTGTTTCTTCAGCTGAGGATGAGTTCTTCACTTTCTGGAAATCTCTTGGACCCGTAAGGCTTCTATTTTTCATATTGCGCATATCAAAATTCAGAAACCTCATACAACCTTAAGATGTTTCGAAAGAGGAGTAAGATATCACGTTCGGAGCTTACATTTTAGGAAATAATGACTCTTCATGACACTGATGCTGTATTGGTGGCGAAGGACTATTTCAAAAACCCATCTCTTGTGAAACGTTATTCAAAGGGAAAGTCAAGCCTGTCGTATATTACAGTTAAAAAACAGAACAGCGACTTTCTTAGACATTTTCTTCTAAGGAGGCAGTATCGCGTTGAAATATACTGTTCGAATACCAAGTGTGGCAGAGATAACGAATGGAGCTTAAAACTGAAGGTATGTGGCTTTTGTTTGTTAGCTCACTATCAGGCTTCTCCAGGAAACTTGGGTCCGGTTGAAGATCTTCTCATGACTGCATCAGATTCCGTTGAAGCTTGCGGTCTTTGTGCACTAAATATAAAAGAACTGAACGGACAGATAGTAAGTTCTCATACTTAGGCTCTAGAACGGCTTGTGTTTTCACTTTTATTACCTATTTTCGTGTTTAAAGTCCGGTACAATCTTCCTGGACGCTCAGTAAATGAAATTTATATTTGGCTGAGTAAGCAGTTAAAACCGGACTCTGAAATGACCTAGTCTTCCCATATCCAGAACTCTTGAATCTCCCCGCCATACTACATACTATAATGTAGTCTCACTGTACATCTTTTGTAAGTCCTGACAAAATACCGCAACCTACCTTAAGTTTACGCATGGTTAGTTACTTTCAAGGTTTCACACAATTACCAACAGTATTTTAGTCAGTTAAGTTGCACGTAAAAGTTTAAGTTATCTTTTAACGATTCTTTCACTACCAAGGCTTTGAAATCTCTGTTAACATATATTTTTCGACTTGAAGATGGCATTCAACTATACCGTTTGAATGGTTTGTAACAGTAACTAACTGAGTGGAATTCCACCGATGACTTGGCACGTGTAGTCGTATAAATGATCCTGGAGAGTTTTTTGTGTGTAATGTATGACGGTATTTAGTGTTAGTTTGTAAGGAGTAATTATTGTAAAAGCTATCTTTTATTTCTGGGCCACTCGTATGGAAGTTAGTGGAGTGGCTATCAGCCTGTGGTTAGGTAAATCGTGGTTGAGTTCACTAACCAGTAGGGTAGATTCAAGCACTGACATGTCATCCTTACACACTACCATTTAAATACAGTTTTTAAATCTTTGACTAAGCTAAAGTATTGTCAAACTTAATGTACCAGTCTGGTATTTATCAAATTGTTGCAAAGAAAATTGGCTTGCTGGTTTTGACTCAACTTTCAACCACTTAACCTATGAAGTTGCAGACTACCTTGTAGTATCGCAGGTAATATCACAAAATGTGTGACTGGAAAACAGTATAGTGCATCCAGTTCGTAAGAAAGTGCTGGATAAAAGTCTCATATGACACTTTGTCTATTGTCTTATTTGTGGTTTACATTACTTTCACTTATTTATAACTTGTTAACAGTCGAAGTGTGGTTTGTTTGTTTCGTGTCCTCTATCTGCTAAATGAAATCTATTTTTCTGTTGTTAGAGTGGTTGGCAGTTGTTCAGTCGTAAATCTTTTACTCTTTCAGCAAGTATATTTAGCCTTCTGTCACAAGGAAGGTCGAAAGTTTCTCGTTGGCGAATTTGTGGACTCTGTACACCTGGCAAACCTGGAGACTGCCCTTGTTCAGCTAGAGGCTAGAGAGTGCCTTATACCTGTTGGACTAGTTTCACATCCAGATAATTCCAAGTCTTCTAATGCTACGTCTTTGGACGCCGCTATCTCGGAACATATTGGTCTTATTTTTGAAAGAACTGCAATTTTACCTTCAGAAATAAAACGCTGTAAGTCCCACTCCTTTGAGCCCTTAGATATATTGAATGCCCTAGATACCTACATGTAACACTTGGTTTCCTATTATACTGCAGGCAAAATTTTTCATCATTACTAATTGCCCTGAACGACAATATGGACGATGAATATCTTTCTCAATAAATTATCATTACGTTCTACAGTTGTTAAATGAAATTGTTCGGTGTTATACAGGGCAAGTTTGCGGCAGATGCATTTTCCAAAATGGATTTTCTTTCCAATTTGGTCAGTTTTAAGATAACTAATGCATAAAAATGTGAGGAAAAGGATCAAATCAAGTGGTTGGAGAATACAAATCCCGTGGTGAGAGATATAGGTATGATCAGTCCACTTAAAAAGCTAGCCGAAATTCGAGTACTTTGTTCAGTTCAGCTTTTAAGGTGAATCAATCCGAGTACACAGTTGGTGAACTCGACTTAAAACGAGCAGAACGATTATCGGGTGTCAGATTACCTTGATCTCGCTATCGCGCACTCCCAATCGACATTAGCGGTCTACAACTTCTCGTCAGTCGGTAGTATACTTCGTACAACTAAAATTGAAATTGAAGCGATAAAACGTCCTATCTGAGCACACCTGTAAGATGAAGGTTGTAATATAGAGCACAACATAGCCTTTACTATCATTTTGAAAACTAGTACATTCAGCTCGCCAACACCACATGGTAAAAGCTTCAGCAATACAATTGACCAAACCTGAATTCTGCATTGAGAAGTAACACTTTCGAGACTGTCTCCTCTCTTAGCTTCTCTTGAAATAAGGGTTATTCTCCTCACCCCTGGTTGTCTTTTCTTTCGTCGTCACATTACACATAAGTCATCTTAAAACCGGCAGATTTAGAGAGAAATTCGAATAGCTTATAATCCCTTATCATCAATCCATTTTGGAATGTGTATTTGCTGCAAACTTGGCATAAATTATTTTGAAAGATTTCACTTGATAATCATAGAACATGATGAGGATCTATTGAAAAGAATGTGTTTCATCCTTATTATCGTTTAATTAGTGAACTAGAAATCCTCCAATATTTAAGTGAGAATTAGTACATTAGAGTGTCTGAAAAGAATAGTGGCCCATCTAAGTATATTTTCGAAATTCATGTTGACCAGTTTACTAAAAACACAACTGGAGGTAGATTTAGTCATAAAGCAGCTATGAAAGAGTGAAGATCCCAGTCTATGTAACGTCAGTTAAATGTTGACATACAGGAAAGAAATATGTTTCTTTGATCATAGCCGCTACCAATTCATAGTTCAAGAATCTTGTTACCCGCAATCAAGATTTGACCTATTTTGGTTTCTTTGGTGAGTCTTCGAAATTCACCTTGCGTATGTTTAGAGATTCATTGTTTAGCTCCATTGGACTAGCTACTTCAGCCATGTATGGGATTAATTTTGCGAGCAGAAAGCGTAAAGGTCTCGGAGTGTATCTCACGTCGACGAACCGACAACAGCGATCTTTTTTACGATGTTGTTCTGACTATCACTTGTTTCTGACCCGCACTTACTTGAAGCATACGGTGGCACACTGTCTCACTTGTTGTCCACTGACATCAAACTAATAGTGGATACATATCCCAATGAGCCATTGTTAGGGACGATCGGTAGATGTTTGCCCCAATTTCTGGAGCGTTAGTACGTGCACGTGCGCCTGTTTGTTTGTGCCTTACTAGTCGCAGGAAATGGGCAGCAGTAAAACCTCTGTATGGTCGACAGAAAGATAAGAACCTTAAGTGTGTTCAGGCAGGACACCCGACCGAATGCTGCTTCCTTGACATGATGGTTGGGCTTGCATATCACAATAATTCAAAAAGCTATGTCGGTGAAGCGCCTATTCCCTCAAGCTCCAACCATGCCAAAGAGGTCTGTCGGATAGTGGTAAGACGAAAAGCAGTTACCGTTGCAGTTTGTGCCAGGTGTCAAACAGATGTCCCATGGGCTCTGCGGTCACGCAAATCTTTTTCTGTCCCACGTACCTTAAGGAGAAATAGCCTTCCACAGTGTGGGTAACTGGGAAGTGTCAACTGCCCACACGCTTCCAGCAGTATTCACGACCCAATCAAACAGAATCTATCCTCCTCAGCTCTGTCTCCTCCTTTGCCTTCAACTCCTGGTACTAGTATTAAGGCCTTACGAAGGTTCACAATCTCATCGACCGACTTGCCTTCCTAACCTAGTACCTTTCGCCTGACTTCGAAATTGTTCACGTGGTGACGCCACCATATTTGAGCAATACTATGAAGATATCTGTGATCAAAGACTTACAGCCTTCTAATTTTATTGTCCGTCCCACAGCCGCAGAGCAGGACATAACAGACCGCAAGGTAGCATACTCGTTTTTTTAATAGGTGGTCGAATATCTCACTAGTTGACACCAGAGATGACGCACGTCGAAAGGTGTTATGCCAGTATTTGACTGAAAGGAGTACTTGACAAGTATTTAATGCTACCATAAGCTCTCTAGTCGAACTCAGGCAACCGTGTAAGGGCTTATAGAGAATTGTAATTTGGATTGACGACAGCTAGTGTCCACCAGGGATGCCTGTCGGCACCGTTCCTGTTTAACTGCGTTTTGGATCTATTAGTGCACATAGCCATAGGTACCTTAGAAAGCTTTGACTTCTTAAAAGGCACCAGTACGTAGACGACGTAGCCCAGGATGCAAGATCCCCTTTGTCTTCACTGAAGAGGTATCCTGCTACGTATTACATGACAAACATGCTACATTACAGTGCATTGTGTTATACTATACGACTGAGATATGGCCGTTAAGAATAATTTTGAAGAGGTTAAGGGTTTTGGATTGTAGGTGTTTTTACAACCACGCACGTATGATAGAATCATCGAGTGAGCAATGATGAGGTTAGGATATGGATACTAGGTAAGGAAGGCAAATCAGTCGGTGAGGTTATGAAACTTCAGCGACTGAGGTGGCTTGGACGTGAACTGCCCATTCTGAGCTACTATCTACCTTGGCGTGCAATGTTAGTCAAAGTAGGATTGAGTCAGAACAAGGCTTAGAAGGACCAGAACAAGATGTAGCACTCGTCCATAAAGTCTCTGACTGTTGGTGTGAGTGTAAGGAAATGTAGACTATCTGACTGCCATTCTCAAAGTGATAAAAAATGCACGTCTGTGAAGCAGACAGTAAGCCACACTTATTATGTGAGTGTGTATGACACTACTTGGTTGTCCAAACGTCAGTAGATGAAGCAAGCTTAGAACCCGTGACCCACTGGTTGAAAGTCAAGTGCCTAGACCGAGGAACCACAGCTCTTCAAGGTAATAGGAATTAGTGATAGGAGACTTTCAGTAGCGACTGAAAATCGATAACGGTCACGAAAATATATTCATTCTTTGACGTCTTCTAGAATTTGAACATCTCCACTAACCTTGATTTCCAACTTCCTTTTCCTCCCATACACTTTTGTGTACTCTGAGATCACTTTTTCTACATATACTCTTTGCGTCCTGCTGTGTGTGGCAGCTGGAACCGACGCATTTCTGTGCGAGGTTTTACCTTACTTATGTCTGTTTGTCTGATAGTTATTTGATCACCAGTACCTCAGGTGTATAGCTTATGTCCTTTAGTACCATTGAAGTAAAAATATCATTGTTAAACGTAAATTCTATAGAAGCAGAGACAAGGAAGTTTCTGAAGGTGTTAATTTTCATCAGTTACTCATGCACAGTAGTGTCCTGCTCCGGTGCACGTTGCTGATGTAACTAGTTTAGAAATAAATAAGCCAAGGGACGATCTGTACAAATAGGATATCAGTCTATGAAGCTATCAATCCTTTGCTCAGAGTCGTGTGAAAAATAAGGGCTTTCATAGTTGGTGCCTCATAATTCTATCGATTGGTTGTTCATGTTGTGAAATGACTCTGTGAAGTCAATAGGTTTTTACTAACGGTATTCCGTCCTTTAGAGTAGACATTTTGTTATCCCAGTCAAAATGTGGTCTTCATTTAGCTGTCTATCTGAAATCTTGCATTGAAGTGATTGAGTTATACTTTCTTCGTTGTTCGTGTTGATGCACTTGTACACATGGCTTACCGGTTCGTCAGGTGTTTTAGTTTTTTTACGCTCCAAGAGTGGTAATCAGTTTATGTTTCCAGTGTTAATAAAATTGCTCTCTAGAAACTTCATATTGATGAGATTTGGTATTCAGAATTTCTCTTAAAAGTTAGTCTGTACATCACATTGAGCTGAATGCAATGTCTGCAGCTTCGAACTAGACGAGGAAAAGTTGTTTAAGCATCCCTTAAGTTACTCTGGAACTCCTAATAGAACGTACGTTGTTATAACTATTAATATGAAATGTATCAGTAAAATTAAGTCATTTTCACGATCTTCAAGATTATATTATTAACAGATTGATATCTAGCTGTTTCCGAAATTGTTTGCTGAACTCTTGAGTGAACTAAGAGGTGAACTACTTATGTCTAAAATATAATGTTTTTCAATCATATTTACTGTCAAACACTTAGCTTCCGTTAGTATCGACTGTATTTGACCACTGGTTGATATCTTGTCATTTGTTCTTTCACTGGTTACTTTGTTTCCCACTAGGCGCATTATAGTAACTGTATTTACAAACATACAATTTTTGTTCAACTGACATTTTTACGTATTTCTTTTTGCATGAAAATTTGTTTGTATTTATAAGCTTTTCTCGCTATTCCGTTATCTTTCCAGTTTTTGATAACCCTGGAGATTTTCCTATTTATTCACACTTTAGCTGAATTCTCACATACAAACACGGTTCAAGACTTAAATCACTTGTTGCGATCTTCACGAAAAGAATTTCCCAATGTCTCTGTGATGTACGAAAAAGGTAACAGTTGCTTCTATTTGGTGTTATGCAATTAAATACTTGTCATTCATAATGGAGCATGTCTATCCTAATTTCATTAGTCTTCCTAAAGTATTTTTATACTAACCCTACTCGGTCTTTATATTTCCTAATATTTGTGTACTTTACAGAATTACATTTTCTTGTCATCAAAACAGACTGCTGCTGTTGCAGATTCTCGTATGGAATTAACTACTGCATTTCGTTTACTTTGTTTTAGTACTTATTTTCTTCTGCAATTTTCCGAAAGTTCTAACCTCATTGTCATGCAGGCTTGCCGCGTAACCCCCATGGGGATACAAGTTGATTTCATCTAGGCAAAGTGAATTCTGTTTCTGTACAGACTTAATAGCAGAAAAGCAATAGTTCAAGCCAAAGTTCAGTACGAAGAACAATCTCGAAACAACCAGACAGCTATCAGAAGTGACGCATGGATCTGATTTTATCTCTGCCAGGTCTTGGGACACATACCTGTATCCAACATGCCATACTTTTTGGCTTGAATCAATTGATCAAAGAGTAAAATAGCGATGTCTGTTTGCGAAATGAGTATCGAGAAAGTATGGTCTACTGATCAAAACTATACTTAAATTCAGCTGTTTGAGGACGTACAGAAGCTTGTTGTTTAGGGTAATAACTGATAGTGCTCACCATCATGATTCTTATTTGGCTCTGTTAAAGATTTACTGGTTGATATGACCCCAATTACCTCCGGTTTGGTTTGGTTCATTTTATGATGAACACCTCGTTAGTGTGGAATACATAAGTGACATAGTCTTAATAAGAAAGGTTGCTATAAAGTGAGCTATCTTTTATTCGCTCTAAGCAAAAAGATTGAGGATTTGCATCAGCTGTAGTAGGCTTATTGCTAATAAGATCTCCACTTGGAAACAACAGACCAAATTGGCACTTATCAACTTACAAGATATCCGACTACCTATCGGAAGACGAATGTGCCGAACAATCGTCCATTCTGTTCTTTCGCATGACTGAGAAATGCTTTTGAGAAGTAAGCCATATGGGGAGGTTACAGTTTTTTATCAAAGATGTTTTCGTGTTGATATTCACGTGTAAGGAGCTTAAGAGAAATGTTCAGATGAGGCGTTAAGTATTATGTTAGAAAGACAAATCAGCTAGTGAACCTGCGCTGAGAGGAGTAGCTTGGTTTTGTACTGCATTTGCCAAGTCACCATCTACTACGATATGTGGTGGTAGTCGAAGTAGGAGTAGGGTGACTAGATAAAAACGTGGCACAAACTCTCAAAGCCTGTGAATGTTGTTCTGAGTCAGGCAGGTGGGTTTTAAGCAACCTGGATAGAATTATCAAGAGGCCAAAATCAGTTGTTGTAGATGTATGTACCCTATATCTTATGTATATACAGTAGCTCCATAGAGGCGTAAACTTGGTGTACGCCAGTGTGCTTTGAAAACAGTTTCTATTTTGTCTTAGTGATGAAACTCCATCATCATAATGTTTTGTTTTTGTTAAATAAGTTAAAGTACTCATTCCTGTAGGTTCTGTCTTGCCAGAAAGTCCGCTAAGAACATTGAGAATCTTAAATTGTCGAATTCATGATGTGTTTTCAAGAGAAAAAACATTTAGAAGACGAAATTCCGACATCTTACTGGATTCGAACGTGGCAGATATAAAAATTTCACCTATGAGCCTAAGGTAGCAAAGTAATCCTGCTTCGTAGAATGCACTTATTAAAAGCTTATCAATACCACTTAATAAACCCTGAATCAGCTGATAAAGTAATTCGCCAGTCAACACTGTTTCTGGGACACTTATGGTGAGCACTTCTTATCGTTTTTAATCAAGTTTGCGAAACTTTCCAATCTTTCTAGTGCAGCATAACGCGCAGCTTATTTTCAGAAGAATTATAAGTTAGGTGTTCATAGTCCCGAAGAGAAAGTAAATCAACGGTGCAAAGATTTTCCTTTTCGATGATATTTTCTGGAGTCATTCAATCGCACTGATACGTTTCACAAACATAAGTCTACTTCTGAATAATATGGGTTTACGTGTCATTAGTGTAGTGTTAAGTTTAGTTTCTGGAAACAAAGAGAGGTTACGTAGTAATCTGCAAGGTCTTGAAATCAAAACGAAAATATGGAGTTTGATGAGATTGAAACCGCTTCCAAACGTATCCATCTTTGCTCCGTCATTTTGGAGTATGGTAACTGAAAATGATGCTATTCTGCACAAGGTCATACGTTGATCCGTCTGTTGTAATGATGGTGAGTGATTTTCGTTGATACCGATATTAAAGTTTCCATTAAACTAAGATGCGATTGTAGAGTGAAAAGACAAACATTTACTTTTTAGCACCAATGTCAGGAAACATGCAGTGTTAAAACCTGTCCTATGCTCAGTTGGAAGATGAGAATGTCACATACGTATTTAGGGAGGCGTTAGCAAGGAATTTACGTGAACGTGACAGCAATACTCATTCTGAGGAAATCTGGTGCGATATTAAGTGTTTTGTTAAAAAGCTGTAAAGGCAATCGGTAGCCTACACACGAAGGTTAGGAAATGTTATTGGATTTCCACGCTTTCATCTGAACCAATTGATGGGAGAAGACTGATTCCAGGTGTCTGACTCTGAGCAAGATGAAGAGCGAAAGCAACTCAAACTTAATTTAACCAAGAGTAATTTCAGTGGGATAGAGAAGATCATCAGGAAGCCGTGAAATTTGGAACGCTTCACGGTTTTGCTTGTCCTTTGTGCACACGAAGCTGCGAAGGACCTGAAAGTTTGCGACCCATAGCTTTTAAGGATGGAGGTAGGAAATTTCTGACTTAAGTGACAGAGGTAATAGGTAGTGTGCGCGAACCAGAAGTAGTCCCATCCGACTGGTATACTTCATTGATTATTCTAATGTATTTGAAGGGAGAAAAGTCTTCGTGTGACAACTATAGGGGCTGTAGTTTGACAAATATTGCCTCCTAGCTCCCAGGATCCAAAGTCATTTGACGCCTAACTGGTATTTGAGAAAACCAGGCTGGTTTCAGACCTAGACGAGGGTAAATTGACCATATTTCTACCCTCCGATAGGTTCTGGAACACAAGTATACCTATTAGTGGCCGACACTTGCAATATTTCTTGGCATTTGACTCAGCCATGAGGTGTTGTGGCAGTGTCTGACTGTAAACTGAGTACTGAGGAAGTAACACTAACCAAACTCTGTACTCGAACATATACAGCTGTGTATGTGCTTGTGGAGAGTTGTCATGCAAATTGACGACAACTAGTAATGTCCCTCAGATATGCCCATTGTCACCGTACTTATGGACGTAATCTTAAGTATGTATGAGTTCACAGGTATGGATCTACTTCGTGGAGGTCATCTAGTTGACTTGGAGTATGCAGACGATATTGTCCTGCTGGGTGAAAACCGCGACAAAATGTAGGGACTTATGAATGACTTGATCAGAAATCTGAGTATGTTTGACTGGTATACATTTCGCTCCTGTCAAATGTAAGATGATGCTCCAGGACTGACCTGCAAGTACTCCCAGTTTAATGATGGAGAGTGAAGTGGTGAGATTAGTCGACCACTTTACTTACTTGAGGAGTTGCATCAGCTCAAGCAGGCCGGTTGCTGATGAAATCTCAGATAAGATACCGAAAACCCGTTTGTCATTTGCCAATATGCGTCACCTGTGGCGCCGGTGAAATATCCGGTTATCTATCAAAGGACTAGTATACTGTTCTGCAGTCCTTTCTATCATGTTGTACGACTGCGAGACATATCCATTAAAAGTAGAAGACATAACGCTATTACAGGGTCTTGATCATATGTGTACTCATAGCATTGCAAGTGTTTGGTAGAATCACTATGTTAGGAATGTTGAGGTCAGGCGAGGGGTACAAGGGAAGACAGCCAAGTCGGTTGGTGGGGTTGTGAACCTTAGTTGACTGAGATGACTTGGACATGTACTGTGCATGTCGAGCTACGGCCTACGTCGACTTGTCATTCTAGAGGACGTTAGATTAGGTTGGAAGAGTGTTCAGGGTGGCCAGTAAGTGAAGTCTCTTACTGTTGGTTTTGAGGCGTGTGAATGGATGCAGACTGTCTGGTTGGGTTCCCCGAGACGATAGGAATTAGTGGTTGAGGACTCTTGGTGATGTGGTTGAAAATCGGCCACAATAGTGCATATGTATCCACCCATTGACATTCTCTAAAGATTGTATGTTTGCACTAACCGTCATCTCTAGATTCTTTATTCTCTCATGCAACTTTATGTATATTGACATCACTTTTTCTGTCCTCCTGTTCCTTGTGTGAGCGTGGATTTTATCTTTCTGTCATGAAATGTTAGGATGCAATAAACAACGTGAAAGTTTTTTGGAATTTATATTTAAGGTTTGACGAGTTGACGCAAAATGATTTTAGATTTTAAGCCTTGAACAATACCCGTTATATAGCTTGTATTGCGTGTTATTTCTTTTAACTGTACGTCGACGAGCTACTGATGAAGAATTTAGTAGTATAATATGAATATGGTAATAATATATTGCTCGGTTCAGCTGCTTCATGTGTTCTCAATAAAATTTTGAGATTTCTCCGATCGTAAGTGTCCTTGATAATATTTCTGCCTACACTGATGCAACCTTAGGATACAATGCAGATTACTTCACTTTTGAGGTTTGCCGGGTTTTATTCATTTTAGGTTGGGATTCATCAAAGACTGACATCAGTTGGGGAAACATTGGGAACCTGAGAGTACTGGGCAGTTGTTTCGTCGTATTATAAGACTTCTCAGTAGTGCCTACCTCCGACCCAATCAGGGATTAAATCTAGGGCCTCCGGGTCCTACGGCCAGCGCGTTACCATTGAGCCATTGGGGTCGTTAGTGTGCACTGCCGAGGAGTCCCATACTAGGACGAAATAGCTGTCCAGTGCTCCTAGGTTTCAAATATTTCTCCAACTAGTGTCAGTTCATGATAAATACCAACTTCAAATCAATAACGAATTAGCTGATTTCATTACTGATGGTGATACGAGATACTGACAAATTAAAACGTTCTTAAACAAATCCCATTGGATTATTTTCGTGTAGACACATGGTTCATTGACCTGGATCGTTAACTTTCAAGCTGTCTGTTTTGTGTTGAAGTCCCCTTTTAATAATTCTACCTCAGCAGTCAAGTAGTTTCGTAAGCCCTAAAACAAAAGATGTGACTCAAAATGTAGTAAATAAGTATATACCGGGTTGTTGCATGATTTATGACATCTTTTATTCAGGTTTTGCTACGTCGTCTGCATTCATTGTATTTATCAAAGAATTTACTATCAAAAGATTAGTTCGGTCAGCTTCCAAGTAACAATATGTGAAACATGAATCTCACTCAGTACTAGCGGCGCTCAGCATCAGAACTAATCATAACAGTCCAAACCAAATATTTCGACACACTTAATCTCAGTGACAGTCAGCCAGTTTATGTGGAAGTGAAACTTGATGTTGCTACGTAACCATCAAATGTACCACACCTCAAACCGGCATAGCAAGATACAAGGCAGCAAGATGAACGATAGAGAAACATAAAAATTGCCTGCGATAGTCTGAGAGTCATAAGAATCCAACATATAGCAAAGGAAACAACAAAGTGAGAGAAAACAGTTAGGATAAAGATAATTAGTTGGTATGTTTGTCCCACATACACCGACTTCACTGACTGATGCCGCGTTTCAGTCTGACCATCCTCAAACTTCTTCCAACCCAATCCTGCTTCAGCAAATAATACATGCTGGAGTAGAAGGTGAATGCGCTTGTGTGATACATGTCTCAGCCGATGGAGTTTCACAACCTCATTAATTGAATTACCTCTTGTATCTAAGACTCTACAACTAGCTTGTACATTACTGATTTCGTGTCCCAAAAACAAGCGGCTAGAGCTTCCAGGATTATGATTGTCAAACTTCTAAAGCCCTCATGTTGGTCCCCACGTTTCATTACTATGTGGAAGTAAAAAACGAACTGCTGTTCAGAACACTCCAGCCTTAGTGGATCATCAGATACACCACAGACGCCATAGGTGGCGTAGGTTAGCAAAAGCCAACCAATCCTTTTTTATCCGTGTCGGGATTTCATCTATCACCAATCTATCAGATCTGATTCAACTTCCCACATCAATGAAAAGACCAGTCTTCCCAACTACTTCATTTCCTACTGTCACAGGAAATATCAATGCAGACAAGTCCTAAAGCATCCATTTGTTTTCGGAAGAGGTTGGTGAGATATACACCCCAAACATCCTCAAATCTCTCCTCGATCTGTTCAAAAGACTCGAAAGTTTGTCAATATCTTAACCTGGAAGTGCTCTAATCTAGGTCCTGTGACAAAGTCAGTTCCTGTAGAGCAAGACAATGAAGAGGGGCATACCTCCATAAGCACATCTGAGATGTATTTGAGTGAAAATGGGGAGTGGATATCCATGACGGACACCAACCAGTGTAAACAAACTATCTCAAAGCTGACTATAGGCTCCAACACAACCATGAGTGTTCAAGTGTCGAACCTTCGGAAGTTGAGCATACCTTCCAACAAAAGTAAACGTGTTGGGACCCAAGTGCATACCGAAAGATAGTTAAGCATTTCGTATACTGCAGTTGGACCATGCGATGACATACAGGCTATTCTAAATCTGGATAAATTGGTTGCCACAAAATGTTTGCGTGCGCTATGTACTGATTACTGTCGTTGTTTGTACTTTAAAAGGTTAGTTAGCCTAAGTGTAAAGTTACGCTTGAAGTAGTCGAATCAGAAATGAAGAAGGCGTTTTCCTTGTATGAGCTACCTACGCATTCTGGTTCGCATAGAATGTATGAAGATCCTTGACATCTTTCTCATGACCGCGGAAGAAAATAACCATTGTTCATGTTCTGACACTCCCGAAAAACTAAAGTTTTCTAAAAGCCATAAACCTGTCAGGTGACCAACCACTTATGTAGCTTTAGAAATGTAATCTAGGCTTTTTCATGCTTTGTATGCCCCAATGAGTAATTTCTGGATGGTTCTCTTACCGTCAGCCGCTTCTCGGCTAGCTAAATGTACCCAGTTAGTTACTACTATGGTCAGAGTTCTCATCCATGTATCTCCACTTCTGTAACAGAGGATCAGTTCTGATAAAGTTAACAGGAGAAAAGAACTACCACGTCATTATTTTCGACATTCTTTCGATTATTTGTTGTCCTGCATTGTTGTATTTGAAATTCACTTCTGGGTTGAACGCTTTAAAAAAATATTTTCTTTCGTGTTTTTCAGAACTTCTCCTTACAGGCGCTTTGACTTGCCTTAGTGCAATTATTAACTTCCTTGATGTAAGTTTCTCTCTGTTCCCATTTTATTTACATTCAGCAAGTTTTGTAACCACTTAATCTGCAAAGGTTCATCCTGTTAAACTTTTTTAGGAGACCATTATTTTTCATTTATGAGTAGGATGATAAATATTAGCCTCTGCATAAGATTTCGAACGAATGAAAGATTTTATCTGAGCGAAGTTTGTAAAATTTGTCTATCTACTTAATATTCTTCCAAAACACTTTGTATGCTCATTTTTATAGCCAACTTATTGCATAAATTCATTGTAAATACACCGCACTAGGCAACGTTTCTTTGGAATTCTAAGAACCAGCCGAAAGTTTCACAGGTTGTGGAGTGTGGAATTGTGAGATTAAAACCACTGTCAAAATCTATTCATCATTTATCTCCACATATCAAAATTTTTGATGCTGTTGTCTTAACTATATTATGTTTCCTATCAGGTTTTTCACAGTACCATCTTTGTTTTTCGTTATTTACCTTCTGATGATAAAGAAAAACATCCCAATTTTTTAGTTCGTTACTCAATATCCAAGCCATCTCACTCGGTTGATATTCACAGCTTTCTCATCGAACCTGTCTTCTTTACTTAGTATCCTCCGCCTAACCTAGATGTCGTTCGTACGGTTGTTGTCACATGTGAACAGCAGTGTGAAGGCACCTAAGGTCTAAAACCTTTAATTTTTTCACTTCGACTTTAAACGACTATGTTTAAACCGTATAGCAAGACGAATCGGACGGTAGTGGAACATGTCGACATAGCCAGAAGTGGCGTACGTGGATAAATACCAAAATGTGCTCTTTGAATCCAAGCTGGTAATTCGTCAGCATTCAATCTATAGGATTGACACAACTCTCTCTGTTAGTAAAAAAAAATGGTGGTTGTTTCGCATCACTTCACTCTTTATCTTTAGACTAGAAGTCAGTTCAAACCAGTCTTGAAGCATCATCTTGCATATAAAACGGGTGCAAAACGCTTGCCAAATACTCAGATTTCTGCTCAAGACAGCGTTTTCTCGGCAACTCCCCCTAACTAGACAATGTTTTCTGCGTTCAACAAGTTAACCAGGTGCCCTCTAGAGTGCTGGTCAATCTGTGGGAATTTGAAGATAAATGATTCCCTCCCTTAGCGTATCGATAACAGATCCAAATAGGAGCAGTGTCAGTGGATATCCTTTTGCGAACATCACTGCTAGTCGTTATGTCACACGATAGCACTCCACAATCCCTTACGGTGTTGCATGAGTTCGCGTAAAGAGCCTCATTTAGCATTATATACTGACCGAGTACTCCTTTAAGCAGTCAGGCACTATCAGTACATCTTCGTCGGAAAAGTCGAATTTCACCTCCAAGTCAAAATTTATTGCAAGTATCGTATGCCAGTAAGTTTGCTTGTGTCCCTGAGTTTGTTCTTGATGTACAGTTGGCCTTTGGATAACTATGTACTCAAGAACCAGAAGAAAATCAACATTGGAATTCCTGAGTTTAACCTTGAGAAATTACTTCTTAGATGTACATCGAATGTACACTTTGTTTTCAGTAATTCATATTATAGACAAGTAGATAGAATCACAATGGGGTCACCATTAGGCCCAATCCTTGCGGATTTCTTTCTGATCAAACCAGAGAATGGGGCTGTAAAGGATGACACCAACAAGCTAGATATGCACGATAGATACGTAGATAACACGTTTAATATATAAGTGATCAGAATATGGATAAGAACGAGGTATTGAGGGGTTTTAACAGCATACATCCTTCACTTGTAAAGAAGAACAGGACAATATGCTAAATTTCCTTGGTGTTCTTTTAAGTAGACGAGGAGATGGATCACTTTGCAGAGGCGTGCACAGAAGAAGCAAATCTGCATATTAACACGCATACCTCCTTAGTTCCACATCTATACGATACAAAGAAATTTAGTGAAATGTTTGACAGCCGTAACAAAAAAAATCTCAGGTGACCTTACAGAGTGAGTTCGAGTCCATTTCGAATTCACTGAGTGAAATAGGTTATCCTCACAATGTTATAAAAAAGTATATGAATAGATCAGAGTGAAGATTTAAAGCAGAAACTCGAAAGAAACCACTATTCATAAAGCTACAATTTAGTGAAGATATACTTAGTGAGATCCTATTCCACAGACTGTCGGGGACCAATAAAATAACTTTTTTGCAACTTATCTCTGTCTATCTTTTTCTAGTCGACAATTTGGTTTGTGTCCAATGAAAAACAAGCCACCTTGTTTCACCTCTTTCATATGTATTTACCAGTTTTATTGCTCCTGTGGAGACAGTTGTTTCGGGCGAACGACTAGGCAACCTAACCAACGTATTACCGAATACCTCCCTTCGTGGCTGGGAAAAATATAGGTTTAGTCTATTAGGAGCTCTATTTTGTCGCATCTAGTTGATAGTGGTCACAGAGTGGATAAAATGAAAGCCTTCAAAGTGATTCATCGTATCCCACCGAACCTTTCCAATAGAGTTTAAATTTGCTTTTTGCACATAGATGTAGGCATAGTAATCCAATTAAACGATCCAAAGCTGTATATTTAAAAGAAGTTCGTACAGCCTTTATCCCTCCCTTGACCAGGGAAAACTTAACGAATGACGTTACTTATGAATTTTTAAATGTACTTCTTTCCCTTTTTATTTCATTTTTGTCACCCCTTTCACTACAGTACTAAATTCACATCCAAACTTTATTTATTCACTGCCTTCATCCTCCAGTATTAAGCAACCTTGTTGTCGTTTTCCATGCTTTGATCTAATCTGTCTCTGTCTGAACGCCTGTCGCATCATACTGAACATTCTTATTGTATTTTATACTACCACTAACTTTATTATTGTAAAGTACACAATCCGTATGACTGTTATACTTGACTCACAGATTACCTTGATTAGTTGGTATTTTATATATATGTTGGGAATTATGCATATTAGGATGAAATCTGATAAGACTTAATTGAAAACAATATTGTTCGCTTATATGTCTTGTTCTATTTTTCATAATGGCAATCTATAACACTGAAATACCATAAAGTGGGGCATAGCACAGACCTGAGCATCTGCATTGTTAGATAGTTGTAAAGTGGTTGTTAGTGAATGTTTGCACTGCAAAGGAATAAGTACCCGATCGTATGATGTGAACATTCCTTTTTGCTTTAAATGTCATTCAGTAAGTCATGCTTCTCTATTACTTTGTTATGCGAAATAAATCCGCAATGGAATTTGTTAGTTAATTCGCAAAAAAAGTGCTATGATATCACTTTCTATATATTAGCGGGGGTTGTTTCTCGCTGTAATTTTAACTTCTTGTTTTCCATTAATCTCAATATTCATCAGGCAACTGATGATGCGTTATTATTACTAGCATTTTTGTACCGATTTTTCCAAGAATCACTATGCATTTGTTGAATCTAACTTTTACTTTTTCTGAATTGTTTTTTGGATATTTTTACACCAGTTAACTTATTTTTCCTTCTTATTACCTTTAGCTTAAAGGTGATGATATGAACGCCAACGCGTTCACTTTAGAAACGTTCAGCCTTGAAACTCATGTGCGTCTGGACAGTGCTGCATGTAGGGCTTTGCATTTATTACCTGGACCAGATGATAGTGAGTCCTATGCAGCACATAAATTGCTTTTATGTTTTCAACAATCACTATTCATATGAACCATAGGCATGTCTAAATTATTCGGTTATAAATGTGTTGGCATGGATCAAATAGCATTCTACCGTGGATAAGTTTTTCTAAATTCAGACAAGTGAGACTTGTTAAAACAGTTCTCATTAGCCAGTTATTCACTTTTTGTATTCATTTTCCCGTGGGACGATAGACGTCTTCCCTTCCGTTTATATAATCTCCGTAAACCTTTTCAATGTTCTTTCTTGTCTATAACTGTGGTCAAGTGGCTCAGAAAAGACATAGCGTTGCATCAGTTAGAATTGTCATGCTACAAAATAGCACATCAAAAGAATCCCAACAAATAAAGTAACGGTCGATGAGAGAATGGGATCATCAGGAACCCTTAAGATCAGAAGGATTGATGTTGTCAATCTGCTACTAACTTTAATCCCTGCTAAAAAAAGTCAAAAGACAGGATGTACAAGACTAGTTTTATTGATCACAAAAGTGTTATGCAGCGGATATATACAAGCTAATTATTTCTCATACTAGCACATGCTAACATCTGATCCTTTTAGTAGGTGACTGTCCGAAAAAATTTCAAGCTTATGAAACCCATTAAGTTAGTTGTATGCTGTCTAGAGACTCAAGTGGAGTAGATATTATTACTTGTGACTGAGTAGCTTTGTTTTTGGATGCTATCATTCAAACATTGCGTTGTATTCCGGGAGAAAAAAAGGACTTATCTTCACTGATGAACTGATTAACAACTGGATTCGCGTGAATTTTTCAACGGTTTTCGTAAGACAACGGCTAAATCAAATTTTCAGATGGGGGTTCGGGACAGAACAACAGGAAGAGTATATAGTCAGCGACAATTGTGAGTTGCTGCAATTAGTAACACTATACATCACCAAGTCATAAGGAAATCAAGAAGGAAAAACATTCATATATATATATATATATATATATATATATATATATATATATATATATATATCACAAAAGTGACAATTATAACAACACATTAAGAAATACTGCTTGGAAACGCACAGTAGATACAAACACTGGGTGTATAGCATGTCATGAAACTAGCTCAACGGGGTCAACTGTAGACTACCAACTGGCATGTCACTGGTTTGAATCATGCCCTGCCTACCATAGTTGATCAACCAGATGGGATCAACAACCCTCAAAAAATTTATGTAGCTCATCGCTCTAGTATAAAAAATATTGATTCATAAAAACCTGTTTCAACTATTCTCGCATTCTCTCAATATATTTTTTCTCACTTAAATTTCTTAGAAAACAAGTTCCACAGTGTCTTTGGGACGTTGAATAATTGTCGAACAACTCAAGGTCAACGTCTTTTAGCTCAGTGGCTTCGACAACCGCTACTAGATAAAGCAAAAATTGGTATGTTGTTTAGTATGGATAATACTTTGTGCTTTATCTCATTATATGCTAACCAACTATAACTTGTTTCATTGCACTAAGTTGATAATTATTCAATCATTTTATCGTATAATGAATTGGCTAGTGACAATGTATCCCTCCGTTACGTATGGAGAGAATTAAGGTTACTCGAGTTAATGCAATCATCGAGACTATAGTAACAATCACATAACTTTCAAGCTTATTCCTTGCCGGAATCGGGGAGACGAAATGACGCCGGTTGTGAAAGCCTTCGGGAAGCCAATTGGTCGATGTGTCTTCCCACTCTCTCCCTCTCTCTCTCTCTCTCGATGAAAACAAAAGTAATCACAGGGACATGGAATGTCCGCACAATGTTTGAAGCTGGCTGGCAAGGCTGCCCAGATTGCAAAAGAGATGAGAAGGTATGGGATAGAGGTGCTAGGAATCTGCGAAAGCAGATGGAAAGGGAGTGAACTCTCACAACTGTCAACTGGAGAGGAGTCAATAATCTACTCCTATATTGTCACCCAGACGACAACCACGAGCACACTGAGTTTTCCAGTGGTTATCATGATGTCTCTGAGGGCATCGAAGGATCTCATGCAGTGGGAACCAATATCCTCAACGATCAGGATCATGACAGCAAGATTCAAATCAAGAGGTAGGAAAGTCACAATCATTCAATGCTACGCTACGCACCTATAAATAATGTAGGTGAAGAGAAGGAGGAGGAATTCTACAGACAACTGCAATCAGTATAGGACAAGACTCCAGTTGCCGGGATTGAAATTCCAATAGGTAGCATGACTAAACAACTGGGAGTAAACAACGCAGGAAGAGAACTCGTCACAAGGCAAGAAGCACTCGGTGAGATGAATGAGAATGGGAAACTCTTTGAAGATTTCTGTGCATTTAATGATTTGGTGATTGGAGGCAGTGTGTACAAACACAAGAATATTCACAGGGCAATGACATGGACTTGATTTCACCAGATGGACACACTAAAAATCAGATTGGCCTCATCGCAATGTGAAGAAAGTGGAGACGCAGCCTACTGGATACAAGATCAGATGACGAAGGGAAGCAGATTTAGGTTGACACCACTCACTATCTATCCAGTGCAAACAACCTATCTTCCAAATCAAGTTAAAGGCCTTCAAGGAAGTTGGCGATAGACCACAGTTGAAGTTCAACACCCACCTAGAACAGAAACTGAAGGACTAAACTACAAAGGACATCTTCACGTCAGCCATCAAGACAAAATGAAAGATATCGAGGAACATCCCTGAAGAAACCTGTGTGGATGAACACTGGAAGTCTTTGAAAGGGATGTTGAAAGAAGCCTGCATAACCGTATTAGAAAGGAAGAAGAAAGAAGATAAGGAATGGATCTCGACGGACACTTGGAAGCTGATTGAGCGGGGAGAGGAGGATGGTGATGGTGAAGCAGAAGGTGAACGAGTGCAGTGCAGTGCAGTGCAGTGCAGTGCAGTGCAGTGCAGTGCAGTGCAGTGCAGTGCAGTGCAGTGCAGTGCAGTGCAGTGCAGGGATGAACAAGGAAAAGAGGAACTGAACCCAACCTATAAAACACTACACTGGACAAAGAAGTGAAGAGGAGTATGTGGAAAGACAAAAGGCAGTTCTACGAGACATTGGCAAGTGAAGCAGAACAGGCTGCAGGTAGGAGAGACGGGGACCTGACAACACTGTATTGAATGACCAGGTTACTGTCTGGGAGGGTAGAGATCAACGCAAATGAAACCAATGAAAGATAGTGAAGGAAACCTAGCTACCAAAGAGGAGAAATAAAGGAAACGATGGGTTGACCACTTCAGAAAACTCTTGAATCGACCATCGTTACCTGCAACTCGTCCAGAAATAGCACCTGCAGCCCAGTCAGTCACAGAACTACAAGTAAACACGAGCGCTCTGACAAGAGCCGAAGTGAAGTCGTGAGCTACTGAAATGCGGGAAAGCAGCAGGACCAGATGGAATTCCTCTAGAATAACTGAAAACACGCAGAGACATCAACAACGGACATGCTGTCACCTCACTGCAGAAGGTTTGGAAGGAAGGAAGGAAGGAAAGGTACCTGCCTATTGATCGGAAGAAGGGCTACCTTGTCAAACTGCCGAAGAAGGGCGACCTAAGCCTTTGCAGGAACTGGCGTGGAATCATGCTACACCCCTGTCCACCCCAAGCAAAATATTGGGCCGGATCATCCTGGAGAGGCTAAACAATGCTCTGGATTCAAAACTACGACCGGAATTGGCTGGCTGGCTGGCTGGCTGGCTGGCTGGCTGGCTGGCTGGCTGGCTGGCTGGCTGGCTTCAGAAAGTACAAATCATGTGGGACCAAATTGCAACGCTGCACTACGCATCATCAAAGTACAAAGCATAGAATGATAGTCAACTGTACCTCACCTAAACTCCATTGACTTTGATAAGGCCTTCGACAGCGTCGACCAACAAGTAATTTAGCAGTTGCTTCAACCTCATTGAACTATATGAAGACTCCACATGCCAAGTAATCCACAATGGGAAGATCAGTGCTGCTTTTGAAGTGAAGACAGGAGTGAAACAAGGCTGTCTTCTATCACCCATGATATTCCTGATTGTGGTCGACTGGATAATGTAAAAAACAGTGGGGAGCGAGAAGAGGGTGATACGCTGGACCCGGGGAAAAGAACCTAGAAGATTTGGATTACGCCGATGACTTGTGTCAAATATCGCACAAACCTGAAGATCTACAGGCGGAAACCAACAAGTTGACAGAAGAGGCAGGGCAGAGCAGCCAAGATGGGACTTCAGGTGAACGTAGAGAAGATAGGGGTGATGAAGATACCCACCCAACATCACCACCAGCAACAAGAAGCTCCAATCACCATGAACGGGAGAAACTTCAAGGAAGTAGCCTCTTTCACCTATTCACCTGGTCAGTACCGTTTCAATTATAGGTGGCACAGACGAGGACGTCAAAGGCAGGATTGTAAAAGCAAGACAGGCGTTCATTAACCTGAAACCAGTGTGGAGACCTTCTGCACTCAACATGTGGAACAAGATGCGGATTTTCAACACCAATGTCAAGTCAGTGCTCCTGTATGGTTGAGAGACTTGGCGCGTCACGAAAAGCATTTCCAACAAACTACAGACATTCATCAACAACTGCCTACACTGGCTCATTACTGAAGATCAGATGAGAAGGTGAGAAAGAATAAGCAACAAGGAACTGTGGGAACGAACCAACCCCGAACCTGTCGCTGAACAAATATGCATTGGAAGGAAGTGGAGATGGATTGGGCATGTACAGAGAAGACCTTTCGGGGACATCACGAGCCAGGCACTCGAGTGGAACCCAGGTGGGAATGACGAGTTGGGCGTCTGAGACGAGGGTGACATGGAGGAGATAGTATGAGGAAGAAATGAGAGCTTGTGGGCTGTCGTGGAGCCAGGTTTAAAAGATTTCAGCGAAGAGAGTGGAATGAGGATGTGCTACTGGAAGCTCTATGTTCCACTAGAAACCCAAGAGACAAATAATAATAAAATAATATAATAAACTCTTACCACGCTTGTTGCGCTTTAGTACAGTAAACATAGATTCAGTCATCAAAACATCAGCATTAGGTAATACCTCGCTATTGTTTCCGCTCATTTGGAACACCAGTAAAAACAAAATGAAATCCCCACAGAGGATAAAACCGTGATAACCTCTCAAGACAGGCGGCCACAGCGTTAGAAGGAACACTTTAAAGGCCGGTTCAACTGAAGCAGCAACGCTTCGGTTGCCTAGCGTCCAGCCTGAACCTTAATGGAGCGTAGATGTTGATCCCCCGACTCTTCTCTATCTTGAGGACGCTGTTTCAAAGCTGAAACGATGCAAACCAAACAATCTGATTGTTTTCCACCCAAAGCTTGGAAGTATGAGGTAGGAAATTACTGAGTAGTGTGACGGAGGTACTAGGGAGTGTACAGGAATCAAAGGTAATCCTATTGGACTGGTGTGCTTCATTGATCTTCCTAGTGTATGTGGAGGGAGAGAAGTCATCTTGTAACAACCATAATGGAATCAGTTTAACTAACATCGTGTCCGTAGTTATCCGACATGTAGTTGGAGTTTGGGAACAGCAAACTGTTGGAAACCAGTCAGGTTTCAGACCTAACGAGGGCACATCAGTCAGATTTTCCCTCTTCGTTAAGTCCTGGAACGCAGGGATGCTTACCGATAGCTGACACTATCCATATTTGTTTCGAATGAAGGCAGGATTTGACTCTCAACCGTGAGGTCTTGTGACAGTCTAACTGTGAAGAGAGTACCAAGAAAGTGTGTGACGCTAATCATAGCTCTTTACTCGAATTTACGCAGATGCGTAAGAGCTTACGGAGATTTGTCATTAGAATTGATGACAAATGGTTGTGTTCGCTAAAAAATTCCTGCTATTACTATTCCTATTCAATTTCGTAATAGATGTTCTAATGGACACGACCTTACGTACGCCTGACTTCACAGTGATTGATATACTCCTTGGAGGTCACCTGGTTGATTTAAAGTACAGAAACGAGGTTGTCCTGCTAAGTGAGTGTGAATAAGCGGAGATAGATCTGTAAACGCTAGATTTCTGAGGTGCAATTATCTTCATGTGATTATGAGATATAATTTGTTCTCAGCGTTATCACCCGGTAAGAATATCTATCAGTGTGTGCTGTGAGATAAGCGAAACAATATATAATAGCACTATCACGGTGCCTAAGATCTATACTTACAAGAATCCATCCTCGTTTCTTCCTGTTTGTCAAATATGCAGTCTTCGGTGCTACCTTCATGGCTACCACAAATAACCGTGACCTTTCGTGCACACACCAAAAGTTGTGATGTTTCACTTGTTCAAGGAACTACTCTCAGCGGTAACACTGAGGTCAATGGACTCACTAATAATTAATTTAGATTAGCGGGGTCGTCCTAGTCGAAATAAATTTCGCTTATATACGCTAATTAAGTTTCGACTGAAGTCTTTAGTTTTTGGAAAAGAAAAGAAAAAATCTTGAATGTATAACGTCTGATTTTTAATATTCAACTAATCTGTTTAAGCGTGAATTCTCTTGTTTCCATATCAGAGGAGCGCCTTGATCTGGTTGAATCATTGGTTGAAGAAACTTGTTTACGTCGAGGCCTAAATGAGGATTTCTTACGACGGATTCCTGATTTACAACGTTTAGGTCGACGTTTGCAAAAGAAGAAAGGTTCTGGTCTCCAGGTTAGTTTTAAATCAGTTGTGTATTTCGTTTACTTCTGGTAGTAAAACACTGTTTTAATTGATTTTACTGCTACTTTTCTAGTACAGTTAAAATTTAAGATTTTTACTTCACAATCTGCATCTGAACACATAAGTATCAACAACGTATAGCCAGTTGACGTTAGTTCGTTGCAAGTTGCCGGATTTCACATCAGTGCAACAAAGGAAAATCAAAAAGAATCAAAGGATTGGTTCTGTAACTGAAAGGTTAGATGGACAAAAGGAGTTACAATGGAATCAAGTGCATAAATCATACGATGTTCAAAACTCGAAAGAGGACGAGAAGTAGATACTACTGTGCTTCTGAAATAGTCTCGTAGTCTAAATAGTCTCGAGCTAACAGATGTTTTCGTGTACCTGTGTATTTCAACTTTTCTGTCCGTGACGAACACAGCAGCGGAGCTGATTTAACTATCGAGGGTAATAAAACAGTTAGTCAGGTACCAAGCTCGATTACTACGTTCCTCATCTTCAAACTGATCTTCAAAGTAATTTTATCTTCTAACATTCCTTTTCATTTGAATAGTGATCAGTGTGTAGATAAACCAGTATCATTATAACTTTTGTTTTCTATTCAACTGGTATTATCCAATAACCGGCACCCAGTCAATACACATGAGATTTCCCAAATGATTTGACTACCCATTGGTTATAGCTACTTATTTCATAATCTATCGTTAAAGGCTGACGGAGTTTTGTCAGAATCTATTCTTCAATCATTCCGAGTGACTATTAGGCATTCTTTATTTAGGTTTTCTATGGAAATATGCTATGCGCGATCATTCAGCCTGCTTTCCTTACAAAAGATATATTGCTATCAGGCGCAATAATTTTACTATCTCTTTACTATTTGAAGTTGCTCATTTTAAGCATTATAACCTAGGGCAACTCACTTAAGTATACTACACCAACCTCTGTAATATTGTACTTTGTGATCATTTATTTATTCCCTGATAGTCATTCTGTTTACAAAATCACTTCAAAAAATTCAACCAAAGTAATCGTTGTGGTTCAAGGGTTTTTTGTTTTAAATTAAGACATGCTCATGCATTTCTGAATTCATTTTTCGTTCAAAGTTTATTTCATAGATATATGTAGGTATACATATAGTGTAATGAAGTTCAGTTTAGTCTCTTCTTATTCTTTCTTGGAAGAACTTCCTAATCACTGGATCCATCCGACTTTTTGTGGCATATGCACTACCTTTCCAGGTATATTCCCTCCTCGCTGAATTAAATTCATCTTCATCATTGTCATGTATTTTTGTTTCTGAGTTTCTTTTCCTTTTACAACATCGTGCACTGTCCAAACAACAATTCAAAGGATCACGTAATGTCCATGGGCGTTTTGCTAATCCTGAAATTAATTAACACCTCGAGAGTAAATTCAAAGAACAATATTAGTAATGTGATTATTATTAGTGTGATGTATTGTAGAAGCTAGTGTCATTGATCAGTGGAACAACGCTAAAGATATTTTCATTTTCATCAATATGACTTCAAAATATCCCCTATCTTGGTTACTGACACATAATATGGTTCATTCCAGAATAAGAATTATTCTGCATTAATTATAACAGAAAGCAGTGTAGAATTTAGTACAATAGTATATCTATTCAAGTTTTGGGCAGTTCTATTCCTATGTGCATAAACACCTGGGATCATTAAAGAAAAGCCAACTTTCACTGTTAAAGTTTGTCTCAGTAGGACGTAATTGCTAATTAGTTGATCATATTTTTTGCTGTTAAATAACTGAGTATTTCTTCATGTCATTTGTCCTCAGGGAAACTCTAGGGGATCATTGAGTACATCCTGCACCTTTTTTGTAAAATGATTCATATGTCATCACAGCCAAACACAGGTTTATTCGTAAGAATATGGATATTGTCAAATTAACGTAAAAAAGGTAGATGCATCGTGACCAAATAGTCACTATGCATCTCTTTGCTAGAGATAGACATACAAAGAATGTGAACAACATAGGACTTTGTATAATTGTCTATCAGTTCAAGCTACCATACTTCATTTCCATATATCGAGATGGAAGTTAATCATAAAAGAAGAAGTGAAATACGTTTCATCAGTTATCGTGGAAATCATGAAACTAAGTGGTTAGCGAAAGGCGTTGGTGGAAATTGAAAGAAATAGTGAGGGTGTATTTGTATCATAATGATCGGTTTTAAACCACATACCCTAGAGTACGAAATATCTTTCACTTGTTGCACACGGGTCAAGTAGCTTGCTGGTTACACTAACATTAATTCAGACAGTTAAACTTATACCTGAGATACTAAATGAATCATAGTCTCGAGCCCATCATTGTTACAAAAGAGAAAATCGACAGCGTTCTCCTTACTGCTATTGACGATAAGAATAGTTCAAACAGTGTATTATCCAGAAACGAAAGGAAAATGTGATAAATCAGATGTTCGAATATTTTGACAATAAATCATAAAAAGTCAAAGGGAATTTTGTTTATCATGAAGTAGGTTGATAAATAAAACGTACGGAAATCAATTTGCGCGAATTAATTTAATTTTCCTGTTAGTTAAGATGTGAATAAGTTTTGTAAATTACTACAGTACATATACTAGTGTTATCTACCTATCTGGTAGATATTTCGTCCAAATACATTTCTCTTATCTTGATGTTATACAGTAGTAACAGTTGCTTGAATTTGAAATATTTATTCCCCTTTATAAATTTCTACAAAATACCAAAAACATGTCAAACGATCCGATCACATATTTGTCATCCAAATGCACATGAGTTATGACAGAATAAATGTATTGTACTAAAATATCATACATTCCAGATAAACTTCGTCTTGTTTTGTCGAAATTGCGAGATTTATCGCAAAACCCATGAAAACTTGATATTCTGACATAACAACTGGTATCTTTTGCTAGATAACTGTCTGACTTAACTAAATAGCTTAGACCATATATAACTGGTAATTCCGGTGGTTAATGATGGTTGCTAGATTTATTGAGTTGCCATTGGAAGTATACGAAGTAAAACAGTAACCTGTTTTCGGTTATAAGAGTTCTACGCAACACTGCTCGTGTGTGGTTGAATAGCAGACTCAATAAAGGTTAGGCATAAAGCACGGAACAAGGAAGACGTGTTGGTGGATGAGCTTGTGAACTCGTACTCACAAAGGTATCTGAATGATGCGCTGCTTGTATTTAACAATTAACCCTTATGGTATTGGGCCGAAAGATGGGGCGAAAATTCGAACGAATTCATAAGGTCTGTGACTATCGGTTTGCGTAGTACAAATGTATCCACCGTTTATCACCTTCAGAATTGTGAATACTTATCCCCTCTTTTCATACATTTTCGTCTACTCGAATGTTTTTTTTTTCCTGTTCACTTGCTGCTTTTGTGTTGTTGTGAAGTGTGTTAGCGTAAACTGAGGTAAGTTTTGGGCAAGGTCGTTCATTTATGTCTGTTGATGCTCACTGTTATGCAAGTACATCCTACTGTTAAATTCGAAGTAGAATGTGCTTCTTGCATTCTATTTTCGGATGTCAATAAATTGAAATAATTTTGAGACATTGAATGGAAGAGTCTTTTCTCACTGCTTATTTTGTTGATGCCACTTACAGTGCTCATAATTTTTGAAAGCAATTAAGAAATTTGAGTTTCACTTTCAACTTGTGTTCCTAATGTTTACAAAGATAAGACCATTTATATTACATTTTATTCTCAAGTTGTTTCTCGATTATTAGTCTATGCCCAACTTTTAGTTGACCTTCCATTCTGAATTAACACCCCCTGTCCTTTGAGAAATAATAAAGTTGTTAGAACTCTTTTAGTGTCATGTCGTCCATAAGACTTTTTTCTCGAACACTTTTTCCTTAGAAACCTCGGTTGATTTGAGATTGTTCTCATCAAATGTCTAGCCTTAGCAGAGATTTGATTATTTCCTTAATTTTATTCATGTAGCTACAAAAATTGTTTTCATGAAAGGCTTTTTCAAGATTGTTTATTTGATTGTTTTTCACTTATGGTGTGTGTTGTCTGTACTTTCAACTCATTCCTGTGAAGCGTTTTTGATAGTTGTCCTTTTTTGTTTGTCTCATGTCACTTTTGTGACTGAGAATCACGCCTAACCGACTTTGTTCTTTGTTGCATTTCCGTTCGTGTTTGAAACACGCTAAGACTTATCCAAATATAACTTATAGTCACAGTATCAGTATACTCGTATAGTTGAAACGGAGTTTTCAATAGAAAGATATCTCTTTCAAATTCAGTGTATTCAGGAGTCAATTAATTTGTAATTCTCATATTACTTTTCTCATCTAAGTAACATGAATAACATTACATTTGTAAGCATTGTACATAAAATAGTGCTATAATAGATCGTACTCGCCAACGTGATTTGACGGTATCGTGAATTTTACAAGTAGTATACTTCGAGATTTTTCACCATCACTAATGATGCTAAAGTAAAATACCTAGTGGAAGGGATAATGCGCATTCTGGTTTTCAAAGGGTCCCTTTGCCCTTTGATTTGCTGTAATTATGTGTGATACGATGTAGGCGTTATGTATCACCAAAAGCTCTAGAAAATTTATCAGTACGAAAATGGAGCGTCGAGAAAAAGCCTTTAGCATTGTGAAAAATAACAAGAAGTATTCTAGTTTCGTGAATAATTCTGATGAATAATCTTCAAAAACTGTATGGTCACACTTATAGTTAAAGTAAACAATCAGACACATTATTTTTCAGTATTCTATAATCAGTTGGTCATACAATTGTTGTAGAAGTTTAAAATTTTCTTCTATAATTGAAAAGATATTGAGTAACACATCATAGAAGTATTGGGAAGGATAAGGTGTTAAGACCGACATATTTTAGCGAAATTTGTATTGGGATTTCTTTTTGCGCAGTCACGCACTGAGCTGGTGCACTTTGTGCGTACTGCCTCTAAATAACATGATTTTTTAGAATCTATTTGTCTGCTGCGTTAAATAACTGCACGAAATGCAGACTTTTACAGTATCTCAATTTTAATGATAAATTTTTTAGCGTAACGCTTATCCAGTAAAAATCAGTTCATATTCTACTTGATTCCTTTCCATTAAACATTCGTTCGTCGAAATGAATGTGCCGAACCAGCAAAGTGATGATGAGACGAAGATATACTTTTTTGAATCGAGTCTCTTTTTCATACATTTTAATGTATTTGGCAAAGATGTTGACAGTTCTTTTTACTATAGAAGGGGAAAACTTTTTAACCAGGTTGTAAGCTACAGCCACATGATCAAAAGTGAAGTACCTACAAAGTCTTAGTGTTCGACACTGTCTAGAAATATAGTGATAATGCTTCATCATGTAAGATACTTTCGATATCAACTCCCCTTTGTTGGCTTACTGCCTATTAGCTTTTGTACAAACTAATGAATATTTAAAGTACTCATTTCATCATATGCTAATAAATGCATAAAAAACTTACTTTGATCACTTTGTACAGATGGTTGATACTCACTCCACATATAATCTTGTCCAAATGTACTGCATAGGAATGTTACGAATGAAATGAGCGTGAGGTACTTTACATGTATCATACTTTTCACAATAAGATTTGGTATATTCTCAAAAACCAAGTTTATTCACTTGCTTATTTCAGTTTTTAACGTATTAAATATAATAACTGAACACTATATATACTTGTACTTGTGATGGGAGCTGACCAATCTGTGGTTGGCTATGTGCGAAAGAACCAATCATGTCACAGATCTCAAAGTGACTCAGATGTTTTGTAGTGAATAGTTGTCGTATATGTCAGTCGAGCAGTTGTTTCGTCTATGAATCTGTACACAGTTTTATCGCTGTTTCAACAACAGTTTTTAAATTTAAATCTTTTTCTAATTACATTCATTTCAAAATTTTTGTTGCTTCTCCAGTAGTATTGTTTGATAAGTGTACTCTTAATTCCATAAAATTATATGTTAGTTGCATCATGTGTAGGTATTCTGGGATATCTGCTGCATAGCATACATATTGTCAGTCCACCCTTTTCTTCCCAACTGTACAACTTCCTCTTTGACTCTCAGTATGTATAATGACTAGTTGGAGTGTTGGAGTAACAATAAATATAGTACAACTGTCGTCTCTCAATACTTGATGATTTCTGTTTTCCTTCCATTCGTAGTTCGTTTGAGATGAGCGACACTTTTCATCTCTTGTCTTGTTTGTATTCTTACTGCCCCGTTCGTTTGGTACTTGCGAATCTTCAGTTTTTACCATTCACACTTGTTAAGTGAGTAATTTATATTGACCAAATGCACTACAGGGTTTTTTTTATAAGATTTTTCGTGGTTTTCTAACTGATAACTACCGTGACCTGATGGTCGAGCTTCTGTGTCGCACTGATCAAACTACCATATTGGCTTCAGTAATCACTTCTTAAGGTTCTGAGTTCCATATAGGTCAACCAAGTTGGTGGTTGGATAGAGTTGTTAAGGGAGTAAGTAATTCCATCGGGCGACAAGCGAATCATTCATTCATAATCTTTGGTGGCGAATTTAAGAAAGGGTAGTCCTAAAGGACTGCTCATCCTGCGTTACATGAAAACTATCGTTGGATGTAAGGTTAACGGTTAACGGACACCAATCAGGTAGAATTCAGACCTAGGTGACAGTCAATTTTCACTCTTCCACACTTTTTGGATGAAAGATATGCTTGCTATTGCCTCACCCTTATCAGATAATCTTGAGAACCGAAAACACTGAAGCATACACGGTCTTTGAAACAACTAAATCGCAAATCAAAACGTTCTGCAGTTGTAGGATATAGTGTGGATTTATGGAAGGTGCTTACCACTTATTATTTAACGTAGGGAAATGCATTTGGTTGTTGGGTACATTTCATTTTGCTTGTTTCGATTGTTTTACAAATCCTCAGATCTCAAAAATTAGTTCAGTTTTGCATTTGTTAACTAATGTCATCTTCGTTGCCAGCGAGTTATCCGACTACCTTTCAAATAATGTGTATGCTACTAAGTAAACCATAAAACAGATTTCGTCTCAGTGTATTTCGTAAAAACAAAGCAATCATGAATTCTCTATGAATTGTGAGTTTATTTTTAGAATTACCTGACGATTTGGAACATTAGAATGCGTTTTATATTAACCTTTACTTTCACTTTATACTTTCATAATTACAAAAAATCGGAGAAATTAGTGAAAAATGAAGTATGCATAAAAGTTCGTTTACATTGAGCTATCCATAAATCCAAGCTGCGTGGATTATACGCGATTCAAGTCTGTTGTTTTTCGTTGACAGTCACTTGTCCAAGTTATTGTTTCTTGATACTATCGAAATGCTTTCATTGATGTATTCCAGCTATACTTATAACTATTATTCCTCATTTTCAGGACGTTTATCGAATTTATCAGGCTGTTATCCGTCTGCCTCATGCAATTTCGCTACTGCGACAATATACTGGCTCGAAGCAACCCATTCTTCAGGAATGTCTAGTCACACCCTTACAAGTAAGTTTACTTCTTTTTTTTTCAAACCTTCATTTTTTGTTATATTTCCTCACTACTGGATGAATAAGCTCTCCTCAACAACTGCGTGCTATCAGCCTGCTTGTGTGGTAAGTCTGGGGAGACTAGTGTCAGTCAAAGCTTCATACGATCAATAATTTTCCACTTTATAGTTGGACCGTAATCATTAGTCTATTAATTGCATAAAGTTAGCTTCGTAATAAGTGCTATATGAAATTTTACTTTCTCTTGGAAGAAAAGAATAAATGTGTGTGTTTTCGGGACTTGAACATTTTTTGAGCATTCGCGTACACTACTAAAAGTTTAGTGTATAGTAATGCATAGAAAAGTGTAAACAAAAACAATGTTTGACCTGTTTGCAGAGTAATTCTGTAGTCACCATTGACTACCGAAGACAATGTGTTGCATTATATTTCTCATATTCCTGTAAAAATTAGGATACTGCAAAATTTATGAATGTTAAGAGGATATTTGTTTATTAAACCTGTTGTTTATGTGACATGAATCACACTATTGTTTTTACTATTACATATATTTTTAGTTATTAATGCCCTACTAATGAACAGTAGGATATCCATAGCTTTTGTCTTCTTTGCTCATTTCCCCTTCATTTGTTCTGTCAACCGCGTAGCTGGTTTCTTGAAGTTTAAGTGGTTGCTTGTGGTGTGGAGAATGATAGGTATCGTATGTTTTTGGGATTGTAGTTAGGCGTGCGGGTCTACAGAATCTCTACATTGCGAATCTACCCTTCAGGGAGCCGGTCCCTGTATAACACTTAAAAATGCCATGCGCTAATACAGTTTGAACATACGCCTAACTACAATTGTTGTGACTATATTACCGTGTAACATGTTTAAGAATGTTATGCATAAGTCGGCTCTCTGTGGGATAGATTCGTAATATAAAGATGTTCCTAGGATGTAATCCAGTCAGCGGTTAAACAGTTAGGTCATTCGATTCAAAACAGCTTATTCAAATACAATATATTTTTATTTAAGCCCTGATGGACTTCCGAAAATGTTTTTCTTATCAACTCTCTAAGAAAGGGAGAGAACTGTATGAAAAAGTGATCATCTGTGTTGAAATTCAAAGTCGTCTCCAGTCAGCGCTAACAACTATGGATAGCACCATCCATCTTTTTCTTGCACACATATTCATTGACTTGTTCATTGTCTGTGTGACAATCTATCTTAGAGAAATAGTCATGGTATTCAGCAAAACTTGGTATCTCAGAGTACAGATGTGTATAACTCACACGCTTACCTTCCAGACAAAACTGTAATGTAATGTATTTTTATGAATTTGCAGCGTGCAAGAAACAAATTACGTCATTTATGCATATATTGGTTTGAAAAGTGTTTTGTACTCTGAGGTTTTCTTTGATGCATGAAAGTTAGCCGTGAACGTCTGAGTAACATATGATTGAAGTGGTAAACAAAAGTTTGAGTATGGCGATAAATTATCAAAATGTTCATTATCACAATCAAATGCTACAAAAAATAATGCACTAATATTAGTATTTCGTTGGTAAAACGTGTAACATCACATCATTAATCTAAAACACTTAGTTTTTTTCGCTTGAAACTTCAAATAACTGGAAAAGCACAACAGTATTTTGCCAATATTCCTGTTTACTGGGAATTCATACCAGAAGATGTTGCGAACTGCAGTGATACTATGTTCTGGAGACATGATATGGTTTCATCAATGATCGAATTGCGGCTTTCTTCACTTCTCATTGAATCAACAGATTATGAAGTGTAAACACAGTTACTTCGTTTATACATAATCGTAGTGCTCTTGATGGAGACAAATATAGTCTCATATTAAAGTAGTAAAATAACTGAGAAGTCAACTTCACTTTCTAGTGGTTTCAGCAAATGGTGCATGATAAGCGTTAAACGGTGCAAAACTTTTAACAGGTGAATTTTTCAAGTTATAACTAACCGACGTTGAGATCAGACAGCCCCAATAGGAAATTGTACTATAAAACCAGGTTTTAGCGAAAGAATACCCCTTCAGTTTTTCGGACCTTTATCTCATCTTTATTTATGACGATCGATAAAAAATTCACAAAGTATTTTAAAGATTTTGCAAAATCTCGTATTCACAAAAGAGTGACTGGATGAATTTTATCAAGCAAGTGCAAACAAAAAGTATATTCATGTACAGTTTTTTGCCTGCAGTTTCGATTATTCCGAAATGGTGAGTTAACCTGGTCAGTTTTCAGTAAGGGAAAAAATAAACCTTTACGTTAGCAAACTGGTGCTTTTAACTGAAAGGTGTCTGAGTGCTTAAAATTATCTGAACATTTGCATGTTAAATACGAATCGTAATACTCGTTGTCATCTTATTTGCTGTTTTCCTCAAAGTGTTTACATATATTTTTTTAAACTCGTTAGTAATTTTTCAAAGCTTGGTTTCTTTTACTTTCTGTTTGAAATGATTTCAGTTCAGATAGTAGTTCAAATTTCATCCACACTCTTGTCGTTCGACATTTTGGAATAATACTGAGGAACTACCCCTACCTCTAATTCTGTATCTACCTTGTTACTAGTTAGTTTAAAAGGTTTCTGTAACTGGTGATTACTACTATATTTTTTTTTACCTACTAGTTATACAGCATTTCGTGTCTCCAAAGTGAGTTCAAAATTTTCCAAACCTATGGCATTGATATGATTCTCAAGTGTTCTTTCTTGTTATAACAGTAAGAATGGCAGCAATAACGTTTCTCGATACCTGAAGATATTCTCTTTCTTTTACACTTTCGATCATTTTCAACATAGGAATCAGTAACTGATTTTTCACAATATAAAGAAATGGTGGAATCCACTATTGACTTGGATTATGTCAGTCAACGAAACGAGTTCATTATTCGTGCAGATTTTGATGACGACCTTCGAGGTTAGTGTACAAGTAATTTTATAGCGTGATGCTGATAGGCTTTACAAGAGTTTATACAAAGGTTTTATCTTAACTAATGCATATTCAGTGGTTTGTATCAATAGCCACGGCGGAAAAAAGTATTTCTCTGCAGATAAATGACTTCGATGTCATTTTTTCCTAACCAATAGCATCATCTATAAACAGAATGTTCGGGATGTACGGCAGTATCTGTTTTATATGACTGTCTGGAAGCGCTTTTCTATCATTCAACATCTTTAGTTAATCACTTTTATTTATTTAGTAAGTTGGCTTTTACTGCTGCGGACCACGTCGTACAACCTTGATGACCACCGTATTGACAATTTAGCAAATAGGTACACATCATAACTGTATAGATGCATTTTATACATACGTTCTAGCGTCATGTGTTTCTTCTAGAAATTGTAATTTCATCATGAGAAAGTTCAACCGGTTGTAGGCAATAACATAATGCTAACGTTTTAGTGATTAGTCTCACTGAAGTAATACTCAAATAAGCGTTTCAGCAGTGATGTATAACGAAGCGAATTAATGCACTTTCTCATCTCTGAGATTCTGTAAAACCGTAGCACCAGTAAAACAGTGAATTTAATCTTTGTTTTTCTGTAGCGAAATGTTTTATCCAAATATTTACACGCAAGTACAAACCAGTGATTTTCGACGTGCTACGTACGTCGACCTAGTTGATCATTTAGCATCATAAGCCTGGACATTATATGTGGCTCATTTTCCTGTCCACATAGTTTTATAAGGCTACTGTTCCTAAATTTTTTGGACATTTGAAAACTGTGACAATCATTGGATGTTTATTAGGATTACCATCATATGGTCGATACTCAGTATTATACCAAGGAAAATTTTATTTCATCGATCTCTTGCTTTAGATGTCGCACTGATTCGTCGAAGCTTATCTTACAGTCCATAAAATCATAATGAACTGTACAAAGATTAGTCTTTGTAGGATTTTTTACTCGTTAATCCTTTGTTTTATTATTTACCTAACGAGATAATTTCGGGTTGCGGAATATTTGTAATTGCCAATCGAACTTTCTCAAATTAATCTCTTTATGAAGTGAATGATATAAGTCGTAAACAGTGGATCGCATGGTCGAACGTCGCACTTACTACCGAAGTTTAATGGATTCACGTAGTGTCTCAATTTCACTCAATAGTTGTTAACCTATGCTTACGTTGTTTTTAATCACGTGAATAAGTATTTTATAGAAAAAGGGCTTTTTCGGAAATGATAATGATTTCATAAATTTCACGCTAAGTTAAACTTTTACCACAGCGCCGAGTTTCGAAAACCAAATTATTGGTTAGTTTGATGCTCTAAATTATGCAGAAATTTTTTCCATATCTGAAGCTTGTCATCTCAGCTACTCAGGTACAAGATGGTCATTCGTAAAGAAATCTTTGATTACATAGAGAAGTCGTTTGTATGCTGTCTAATTCCTATTAACCACTAACGCGTGCCACCATCACAAATGGTTGTTGATTCGATCCCTAGATTACAGACACTTTGATAGTGTTAATGTGCTGAAATGTGTGACAAGTAGTAATAACAAAATGCCTGGTCATAAATTTAATTAGCCATGTCTTTTATTGAAGTGCGAATGTTCTACTCTGTATTCGAAGAACTGCCTTATACACTTTCGTCTAACTACTTCTGTCTATTATACTTTTTACTTCTTTTTTCCTTCCCATACTAGAGCTAAGAGAGAAGCTAAATAGTTTGGAGGAAAGAATAAAAGAAGAATTTGGACGAGTAGGTGCCAATAATGTTCTGCATGTATTAGGCCATGTTTTATTTCACAGTAATTGTTAGTGTCAGTGCACATGTTCCCCTTTTCTCACTATTTAAACTATCATCAACATATGAACCTGGTGGTACTGTAGGATGTTGTTTTGTACAGGTGAAATGATGAAAAAGTAGCAGTTCCAACCAAAAGTGAACCAAATGATCTCTTACACAGTTGGTATAACGAGAAACAGTTGAGGATTATCCATCTTAGTTTATAGCATGTCATGAGAGTTTGGGAAGGCCTTTTCAAAATCGTTGAAGTTGAGGTAGAGTTGACTGCCATTCTATGTCCGTTGTTGATGTCTCTGCGTTTGTTTTCAGTGCTTCTAGAGGAATTCCATCTGGTCCTGCTGCTTTCCCGCATTTCAGTAGCTTTATGGCGCTCACGACTTCACTTCGGCTCTTGTCAGAGCGCTTGTGTTTACTTGTAGTTCTGTGACTGACTGGGAAGCAGGTGGTATTTCTGGACGAGTTGCAGGTGGCGATGGTCGATTCAAGAGTTTTCTGAAGTGGTCAACCCATCGTTTCCTTTATTTCTCCTCTTTGGTAGCTAGGTTTCCTTCACTATCTTTCATTGGTTTCATTTGCGTTGATCTCTACCCTCCCAGACAGTAACCTGGTCATTCAATACAGTGTTGTCAGGTCCCCGTCTCTCCTACCTGCAGCCTGTTCTGCTTCACTTGCCAATGTCTCGTAGAACTGCCTTTTGTCTTTCCACATACTCCTCTTCACTTCTTTGTCCAGTGTAGTGTTTTATAGGTTGGGTTCAGTTCCTCTTTTCCTTGTTCATCCCTGCACTGCACTGCACTCGTTCACCTTCTGCTTCACCATCACCATCCTCCTCTCCCCGCTCAATCAGCTTCCAAGTGTCCGTCGAGATCCATTCCTTATCTTCTTTCTTCTTCCTTTCTAATACGGTTATGCAGGCTTCTTTCAACATCCCTTTCAAAGACTTCCAGTGTTCATCCACACAGGTTTCTTCAGGGATGTTCCTCGATATCTTTCATTTTGTCTTGATGGCTGACGTGAAGATGTCCTTTGTAGTTTAGTCCTTCAGTTTCTGTTCTAGGTGGGTGTTGAACTTCAACTGTGGTCTATCGCCAACTTCCTTGAAGGCCTTTAACTTGATTTGGAAGATAGGTTGTTTGCACTGGATAGATAGTGAGTGGTGTCAACCTAAATCTGCTTCCCTTCGTCATCTGATCTTGTATCCAGTAGGCTGCGTCTCCACTTTCTTCACATTGCGATGAGGCCAATCTGATTTTTAGTGTGTCCATCTGGTGAAATCAAGTCCATGTCATTGCCCTGTGAATATTCTTGTGTTTGTACACACTGCCTCCAATCACCAAATCATTAAATGCACAGAAATCTTCAAAGAGTTTCCCATTCTCATTCATCTCACCGAGTGCTTCTTGCCTTGTGACGAGTTCTCTTCCTGCGTTGTTTACTCCCAGTTGTTTAGTCATGCTACCTATTGGAATTTCAATCCCGGCAACTGGAGTCTTGTCCTATACTGATTGCAGTTGTCTGTAGAATTCCTCCTCCTTCTCTTCACCTACATTATTTATAGGTGCGTAGCGTAGCATTGAATGATTGTGACTTTCCTACCTCTTGATTTGAATCTTGCTGTCATGATCCTGATCGTTGAGGATATTGGTTCCCACTGCATGAGATCCTTCGATGCCCTCAGGACATCATGATAACCACTGGAAAACTCAGTGTGCTCGTGGTTGTCGTCTGGGTGACAATATAGGAGTAGATTATTGACTCCTCTCCAGTTGACAGTTGTGAGAGTTCACTCCCTTTCCATCTGCTTTCGCAGATTCCTAGCACCTCTATCCCATACCTTCTCATCTCTTTTGCAATCTGGGCAGCCTTGCCAGCCAGCTTCAAACATTGTGCGGACATTCCATGTCCCTGTGATTACTTTTGTTTTCATCGAGAGAGAGAGAGAGAGAGGGAGAGAGAGAGTGGGAAGACACATCGACCAATTGGCTTCCCGAAGGCTTTCACAACCGGCGTCATTTCGTCTCCCGATTCCAGTAAGGAATAAGCTTGATTTAATTTTTTATGTTTTCTTTGTGCTTTGAAGTTTCTGTAGCGGTTGGATTGGTTTTCCGGGGTAGGGTTCCTGGCCCTATGCCCAACTTTCCCTCTTTATCCGGGCTTAGGACGGCTAGTAACTGGTGAACTAGTTAACTAGACGAGTTTTCACTAACCATTACCTAGATTTATTTATCCTCACGATGTTCGAAAAAGTAAGAATCTTGATACGAAGAAAATGAAATATGTGTATAATGTCTCTTTGCTTCAATGTCAAATCACTGCAGAGTTTCAGCAGAATTCTAATTGCAGAGAAAAGCAACCATTAATTTACATCTGGCAGGATGTGATAAAACTTATTTGAGTTTTGATAAAATTAAAGTGTGCTCAGTTGCTTCATTGATATATCTGATGCGCAGATAAATCACTTTTAATAGTAGAGAAAGATTGTTTCTTAGCCGCGCCTTATAAGTACCTACAAAAATTGAGTGCATATGATCCCATTTCGATCTGAGTCGTCTGGCGCTGCACTTGTAGTAAATTAGGTTGGTCCATTATATTTATATAAATTCTACTAGTCGAACGTCTGAATGCGTTACGTTACCTGGAATTACAGATGTCTGCTGATACCGAATTTATACCATTTAGTTATGCATCAAATAGATAGGTAGTCTATAGTCAATATCTAACGATTTTTTAGACACTTTGACGTTGTTAATCTTTTAGTTTATATCAAAACATCATGAGTTAGGAACTGAAACAGTGGTTCTCCAATTGATGTCAGTCCGTGATGAATGCCTTCTTGAAAAAATTCCCATTCTCCTAAAAATATATACTTATCTAACCAGCAACATTCTATTCGTCCAGTGGTTTATGTCCCAAATGACCTGAAGAACGTCATTGAGTTATCGACAGAATGTTTTGCAAATTGTCCACTTATCATCAGTCCTCAATCAAATATTCCTACTAACTGGATTCCACACATATGTATTTCATCAGATTGCAAAGACGTTATGCCATCAGTTTTGTGTAAGATGAGCTCAAATTCGATTTTAAAAGAGTATCATTTACTTGTTTCTTATCACATTTTTTGTCAAGTGGTATCTCACACAGTTGCAACTTATACTTTATAAATTAGTTTTTCTCAGGGATCATGACTTTGTCCTGATTGAATTTTCAGCTTGTTCACGAGGATTTCTCCCTCATTTCTTTTAACGAAATTAACATGTCATGCAACCGGTTGGTAAATAGCATTTCAATGCTTGAATTTCGTAACAATTTTCTGCTTCACTACATTGACAAGTATTAATTAGTCACAGATTGTATGACATCCCCACCATACTGTCATGAGTATGTAATTTATTATCTTTAGTTTGTGTACTGTCCATTGGTTTTTAATGAAACCTAGATGCATATATATTTTGGTGATAATGGCTAGTAAAATCAGATACACCAGTCAAATCTGAAGATAAATGCACAGTTTTATATCTGAAGTATTCATGGTTCTCTTTTCCCTTGTAATTTCACTGAACCAGTAGTAAAAGCATTTTCTACAATATCAAAAGCTACGCATTGTAGGCGAAGATTTTTATGTTGACGGTTTTTCATAATATTTCATTTACTAAGCACTTGAACTGTATACCTAATTATCTTAATGTACATTCACACAAACACCATAAACGCTAATTTTAGAATTCATTATTGTAATTCCCTTTACAAACCAATTTTAAACATAAACTGTCTTATACCTGAGTCGTGCCCACCTTTTCAAACCCAATCTATTATGTTCGTTATGATTTCATATGTCTTATTTTCTTAATTAATAATTCATGAAGTTTTTGCAAATTATCCATTTGTGAAATTTTAACATAGTAATGCTAACGTTGCTATGACATCTACATTTTGGCTTTCAATTCAGAAAAAACTATCTGTATGCTACTTGGTCATCAAATAGAACTCGAGTTCACTCTTTTCCATTTAAACGTGGTTATTTCACACATAATATTGAAACTATATTGCATGTTACCTGACGATCGTTCATTAGTAGTGTCAGAACTCATCTGTATTTTCGCAAACTGCTTTTCATGATCATAATCATATCCTTCCTTAACACAACATATTTTTGTTTTATGATCCAGCACTTTACCTTCCAATATTCCTTGTTCATCCAACTATGTTTGATTTTGGTTAGCAAAGCTAGAACAACAAATTTTGCAGAATACGATAAATTTATTATATTTCATTTCGTATCAGTAGTGGACTCAAAAGTAAAGACTATCGAATTTCTATTTTATCAGACAAATAATCACAAAGCTTTGCACTGATGTGCATAACTTAAGGCTGTCACACTTACGGACGTACGATGAGAAAGCAGATAGATCTAGAATGATATTCAAGTGGATGCGATGAATGTGTAGAGGTTAACAAGATTTTTGGAATTTTTAACATCTCAAATTGCGTACATCTGTATCACTGTGACTGGTCTTGTCGTGTACAATTGAAATACTGGGGCCACTCAACTTCCACGAATTAAACCCAGCAGTTACACACTAACTTTAAAAATTGATGCAGCGTCTCTTCTACTTACTTCCAACCTAATCTTGTCTTAGTTAACATTGTAGGTCGATGTAGATGACCTAGAATGTGACAGATGACCCCACCTACCTCAGTCTATAGTGATTCATTTCCCTGTATATGTGGTACCCTACACCTGGCCTCAACATTCCTCTCATTTACTCCGTCGGATGATAGCAACTTCCAGAATACACAGTATTAAAAACCTGTAGCTTAATCATGTCTTCCGATTACAACAACTATGTCAGATATCTAGCCGACCCCTATGGTGCCTATCAAAAGACAAGTATACTGCTCTGTAATCCGTTCTGTCCTGTTGTACGGCTGTGAGATATGGCCACTAAAAGTAGAAGGTATGAAACGATTACAGGGTTTTGTTCACAGATATCTTCGTAGCATAGCCCGCGTATTGTGGAATCAGTTTGAGCAATGTTGAGGTCAAGCGAAGTGTACTAGGTAAGACAGGCAAGTCGATAGATGAGGTTGTGAAACTGTATCGAAGGAGGCGGAACATGCCTAGCCACTGCGTACCTACCTACCTAGGTGTGCTGTGCTAGAGGAAGTTGGATTAGTTTGGAAGAAGCTTCATGGTGACCAGCGAAGACGTTTCACCTGTCGATGACGTGTATTATTGTTGGTCGTAGTCGAGTGGGAAGTTGTCGACTACCTGACTGGGGTCCGGAGACGAAAGTAATCAGCAGTGGTTGAGGACTGAGTGTTTGTGATACGGCTGGAAATCAGTGATAATGGCGTGAATGTATTCAGTGCTTGAAATCTTCTACAGCTTGAATATTTGCACTAACCGTTATCTTGAAATTGTTTATTCTCTCACACAACTTTGTCTATATGGATTTCACTCTTTTCCTATCCACCTTTTTTTGTGTGCTACTGTAAAGTGTGGCAAGTGGAACCGATACACTTGTGTGTGAGCTTTTACGTTGATCTTGTCAGTCAGTCGGCCACAGCTGTACATTAGGAGTGAGCAAACTGTTATCCAATACCCTTATATCTTGTGACACATGGAACAACGCAAAGACGTTGTTTGTCTAGTTCGCTTGCTGGATACCATTGCGACAGTTGCACATTTCTACAACACATCCATCTGCAAAGTCGAGTGTTTCTTTCTGGTCATGGTTTAATATATTTTCCTTTGAAGACTGATAAGCTTTAAAAGTTGGGGAATGAACTCACCTCGGTTTGAATCCTATCTGGTTGTTGTTCTTTAATATCAGTTGTGCGTTGAATAATGGTGGGCTTTAAGATCCTGGATATGACTTGAATCCAACTGTCACGGAAAGATTTGTATTTTTTTTGTAAGCTGCAATGATCTGCGGTGTACATTAATTTGAAGAGACTATAGGTAGACAGCATATTCGCAAAGACGCAAACAGTATTGGGCAGCCGAAGCTAAAGAGGTAGAAATGGTAGTGATGGTATTTTAGGGTAATATGAACTTGTAAGTAGATAAACTAATGAGTAAATCTTAAGATATTAACCCTCACCTGAGTTTTATTCTGGGTCGAAAATATGTTGACACTTCTGTGCGCATTAAAAACGATTGAATGTTTTAGAATGTATAGCTTCTTCAAGATTTCTCTTGATCCACCGTCGTTTTTGACCTAAAGGTGATGCGTAAATGGTCACAATTTACGTTTTCTTTCTTCTCTAGAGTCATTGGTAAGATTCAGTCAGAAAAATATTGCTTTGCTCTGCCATCGAAATGTATTCTTATAATGATTAAATCAGATTCAGGACTCAATTCTTTCCATGACATTCGTAACAACTGTAGTCTTGATGTTTATGGCCTCAATGTAATGCTTATAGTATTGCATATTTCTGTTTCTATCCATATTTGTGTAGAACATGATTTAGTCTAATCGGTCTGTGTTCTTATCATTGACCTCAAAGGTATTGGTACGCGCATCCTGTAGGATTAAATAATTACTTACAGCTACTATCATTCATTGTTGACCTTTAGAAACTTCTTTTTCGGTCAATTAACTTAAATTGCTAGCCATATCATTCTGTTCTTTTGAAATCAAACGTCACTTTCTTGTTTCGATTGTGCTCAAAGGATAACTGAAAAAAACGAAGTTGAAGTGGCAGAAAGTGACTAGGAAAAAAGAAAAATTGATGTTAGCTACGGACAAGTGCTTTTTTTATGTATGTTAAGGTTCACTAACACATTTGTTTGCGATCAGAAAAAAACTTGTATTCTTCGCGATAATTAAAGCTATATTTCTCTTCATTGCAATCGGATGATTTAAAGTTAAATTGTTTGGTGAAGCTTAGCACTACTGTTTACATCATGACACTGTCTACTCATGAACTTGTGTCCGCTAACAAATGAACTAAGCGGTTACGTATTAGCACTCACTGAAAGCTGTCGATAACTAAACCTTACTTGTATTTTGGTGAAGAAAAAAGCCGAAATGCAGCCAGCAACATTGTTCACATTCGTGCAGTAGGCAACGTGTTACACTTATTATGTGAGGGCTATTGATACTACCTGGCTGCCCAAACCTCAGTAAGCAGAGGATGGGTTGAACCTGTGACCCACTGGTTCGAAGTCAACTCCCTAAACCAATGAGTTACAGCTTCACCTGTTTTCGTGATCATCTCATCTTGTAGTTCTCTTGTGGTACCTGAAATGTAGTTATCAATGAAAAGGTTTGTTTGCCTTGAATGTTCTGTTTTACATGTTATAGAATCAAATTTTGTTACATTTTCGCCAACTTTATGAATGTTCATGAAAAGCCTTATCTGATGTTCTCACCATACTAGAAAGGTATAACAGCATTAAGAAATCAATTTCATTTAATTATAATGCTTTCTAAAACATTGTAGCACAATGACGTATAGGATGGGAAATGTACTCAATGTTCATAAGTAATGGAGAAAGTAATGCCATGAAATTAAAATGTTGTAGACACAAAAGCAGTACTCAGTATGTTTTGATGCTTTCTCACTTTTTTATTTTTTGGATAATTTATCCTGGTCATAACTTTTTAATAATATTTTTGTAGTGTGCAAGAAAACTCAACCTGGAGCAGAATAAATCAATTAAATTAGAGACCAATGAACAACATGGATATTTTATGCGTGTTACACTTAAGGTGAGTATTCATCTGACATATTCACAACTCATCCATTTACTGTAGATTTTCAACTGTTAATTTATGTCGACTGCAGTTCCTTTAATTTGTTAATGATTCATTTATTGCCTTTTCTAAAAAAGAAAAATGAGGTTATTAACTGTTTATATTTCATATTACAGACTTCATGATCCCATATTTGTAACCAAATTAGAAAGATTTCAGTTTGTGCCCTATGCTCGACTTACTGATCGTGCCAAATGATCTCCAGAATTGTATGTGATGTTGCTATATTAAAGCACTAGACAACTTGACTGTTTTCCCATTGAGTTTTCAAAATTGGCTTAGTACTTTAGACCTGATGACACCAGTTTCAAGCATCTACTTATTTGTGACCTTGATGTCTACGGATAACAGATACCTACAGATTTCGTATCGTGTTACTGATAACTCTCTATCCTCAAGATGTTTTTTGATCAAAATCATAATTCCATTCACTAACAGCTCAGAACCAGGAATCATTGGATATTTTTGTTCTACTATGAGTTCACCTTTAAATTTCCCTCAGTAATTGCACACTTGACTGATAACTTTGTAATAAGCGTACCAGCATTTAGGTAGCTGCGAAAGTGGGTTATGTCTTTATTCTAGGTTCTCACGTGATTTGAATCAACTGTCATATATCGACCGGTTGTGTCCAGAAGTCAAAGCTGTTTTAAATTTAGGCATTTTGGAAGTGTCTTTTGAAGTCCTACGCATACTACTGAGTAACCACGTAGCAGATGTTCACTGGTCATGCTTCCTGTACTCCCCTATAATTTTGACAACTATTTCACACACCTTTTTTGTTTGGTGATTGAACTGTTAATTACCTTCTCAGACGAGAACAATTCGTTGTTTAGAATAACAATATAATGTAGTTCCATGGTAGTGCTGCAATGGTGTAAGACGCTTCGCTGGCAAGATCCTTTCCTCCTAAACTATCTATTCTGTGTTATGCTGTTGTTCTATTTCTTTGCTAATCCTAAATCTGGTGGGATTGTTGTTGCTGTGTTCATTTTCCCCAACTGCTTTTATTTTTTTTCAATTCATAGTGCTTTTCACTTTCTCATGGTAGGAATAAAAATAGTTTGAATTTTTATTGCCTGCAGAAGTAGTTTCTTACTTTTGAAACATAATATTGACTTCAGTTCTGAATGTTTCGGGGTAATTTACGAGTTGGATAGTGATCCCCTTAATCTATTCAATCAGTGAAATTTGCTACTATTAAGTCCAAAGATATCTTTCTAGTTTATAGTAGTCTGTATTTTGTTTACAGTTCAGACAACTTGCAAAGTATAAATTCACTGAGATTATTTGTTTACTATAGAGGGTTTCTTCTGATTAGCCGCAACCTTTAGCTGTTAAATTTATTCAATACCTAATCTTGATTGCTTTTTGTGGTTGAGATGGATCTTGTTTTTTTATGTTGTCATGTTAAATCTACCTAGTGTAAGATATTTGAGTAAAAAGTAGCTGTTGCTGAAGTGAATAAGACTACTGCAAAATGAGGATAATATAAACTGTTTCCGC